AGTCGCCCTCCTTTGGACACATTCCAGCTTTTCAATATCTCTCTTGAATTGTGGTGCCCAGAATTGGACACAGGTGTGGTTAGACCACAGGTGTGGTCTAACCAGAGCGGAATAGAGGGGTAGCATGACTTACCTAGATCTAGACACTATGCTCCTATTGATGCAGGCCAAAATCCCATTGGCTTTTTTTTGCCGCCACATCACATTGTTGGTTCATGTTTAACTTGTTGTCCATGAGGACTCCAAGATCTTTTTCGCACGTCCTGCTCTCAAGCCAGGCATTGTCCCCCATTTTGTATCTTTGCATTTTAGGAGGAGCCTGAAAATGTGGTTGTTCCAGTGTGCCTTCCTAGAATAAGGAGAACTCTCAGCAATATGTCCTCAAAATGCACTTTAATACTGACTTAGGATGGACTGTGCTCCCTCATTTCACTCTGAAAAATCCTATCCTAGTTATATTTTACCTTGTTCACGTCAGCATATTTTCAAATTTAATCTATTACATTTGGCCCAATCATTTTTAAATTGTTTATGTCACTATTTATTTATTTTTTGTTTGTGTGATTTATATGATTTGTATTTTATTGATTGTTTATTGATGTTGTGTTTATTGATGTTTTGTTTGATGTACTTTGGGCTTGGCCTCATGTAAGCCGCACCGAGTCCCTTGGGGAGATGGTAGCAGGGTACAAATAAAGTTTATTATTATATTTATTAGTCCAGTGTGCAAACCATTGTGCCACACTGGCTCTGAACCATGCAAATACCATCAGTGTTCCTAATCGGATCACCTTTAGTAATACTTCCTGGAACTTTGTTTGTAACATAAAGCCCATAATTTCCGACGTAAAATCCTAACTAAGTGCACAACACTTACAATATTGAATGACAGCTACCTACACATTACTGTACATGTATAATTAATTCATTGGAGATAGTTGGTTGTATTTTCCCGGGATGTTTTGGGCTTTTCCTGTAAAAATTAGGCAGATTGTACTCCTTTCTCATGTTGGTTTTACATTATGTAACAAAGCAATTTCTTCAGAAAGTGGCATAGTACTCAATCTGTCTTGATTAGTTCATCAGAAAGTGCTGGCTCTTGGCCAGTAGGAATTCCCTTAAACCTTACTGGCGGAGGGAACCTCCAGAGCAATATTTCTTACTGCATCTTGATCATTTCCTTCTCATCTATGGCTGACTCTCAGCACTTCCGTCGGGCTTTGATTTTGATGCTGAGACCTTTGTTCAGGTTTTCAGCAGCACTGAGGAATGTCTTTGGATCAAAGAGGAAAGTCAATGGAAACCAGACAGTAAGATGTCATAGTCTGTTTGCTATTGCCTTACCATATGTGCTGGAAAATGTCACATTTGAACTTCATTGTTCCTTAGGGCATGGAGATGGAGGAGATACAGCAACGGATTACCATACTGTGCCAGAAGAAAGAGGACATTCTGATGTCTATGAAGAACTCCTTGATGGAGCTTCACAAGCAGCAAGAGCAACCTGAGCTGGAGGATGACACTGAGGAATCGCAAGAGCCGGAGGAAAACGGAGAGGGTGCTGAATGGCAGGTAATGTAATAATAATAATAATAATAATAATAATAATAATAGGTTTTAGTGTGAGGAGTGACTGCAAGTCGCGTCTGGTGTGAGATAATTGGCTGTCTGAAAGGATATTGCCCAGGGGACACCTGTTTTTTTGATGTTTTAACATCCTTGTGGGAGGCTTCTCTCATGTCCCCACATGGGGAGCTGGAGCTGACAGAGGGAGCTCACCCGCGCTCATTTACCAGAGACAGGTAAATGTATTACTTGTCTCTCTTTGCAGCTCAAGGTGGGGTCCAATAGGGTTAAAACAGAGCAATAGAATGCAGTGCTATTAAAATACATATAACAAATACAAGTCCATGCCAATAACATGTGTGCATTGGAGGGGGGATTAGTGATTCCATACAATACTCTTAAATCCACATCAAAATGCATATTCCATTTTTCTGTGCATATTTTCAAGTATGCCTTAATGTGCTTTTTTCATGGTGAATGCAGTTTTGCAAGTCGTATCCTTTCCTACAGTTAATGTAGCTAGTGAATGTTGTTTTGTGTCTTAATTTTCACTAATACATACATTTTTGCACATCCTTTTCCCTAACATATCTACTTACAATATAAGGGTTTTTTTTAAAGACAAAACTATGTTGAAGAAATGCAGGGAAGTATTAAATTTGATGCATGTCAGTTAATTTAATGATTTTGGGGATATTAATGTGAAGTGAAGATCTGAGGTGCATCTACACTGTAGAATTAATGCAGTTTGACATTTCTTTAACTACGATGGCTCAATGCTACGGAATCATGGGAGTTGTAGTTTCGCAAAATTTCTCTGCAAAATAGAGCTAGCACCTCATCAAACTACAACTCTCATAATTCCATAGAATAAGCCATGACAATCAAAATGTAGTACTTCTACAACAAAGATGTACCTCTGGACTGAATTAGTTTATCCTCCATCCAAATTGGTAGATAGGTGGAACACTGGGTCCCTTTAAGTGATTTCATAAAAATGTGGGAAGATTTATGCTTTTGCCCAGACTCTTTGTTCCCAGGGATAAAGAACTGCCACTAAAAATGCAATCCCTCTGTTGATTTCCTGCTGAATCCCTCACAGAACTTAGTGGCACTTTTGGCTCAATTGATTTTTTTTTTCATGTCAGGAGTGACTTGAGAAACTTGAGAATTGGCCATCTGCAAGGACATTGTCCAGTGGATGCCCAGATGTTTTGATGTTTTACCATCCGTGTGGGAGGCTTCTCTCATATCCCCACATGGGGAGCTGGAGCTGACAGAGGGAGCTCATCTGGGCTCTCCCCGCATTTGAACCTCTGACCTGTTGGTCTTCAGTCCTGCCATCACAAGGGTTTAACCCATTGCACCATTCCTCATTCCATAAATTGTCTAGCAGATGTGGGGGGAAATGCTTAATGGTCTGTGTTGCATTTTAATCACATATTCAGGGGCATCAGGGAGGAAAAGACATAAATATTTGGTTTTGGCAGCAATATGCTGCCTATTTTTTGGCACTGTGAAAAACAGAGAGATCTTGTTCCGCAAATAACTGAGGTGTATTTCACCTTGCATGCTGTAGCCAAAGAAACGAGGGTCGGCATCCCTTCTGCCTTCCTTGGCTGAAGAAGCTGAAGACAATTCATTCCACAGTTCCGTAAGTACAGTGTGGAGTTTAATGGCACTAAGGTTGTAGAATGAAACATCTTGTGGTTTTCCTATAAACATTCAGCCCTAACAAAAAGTCCTGCCTCCTTCAGCGGCAAGGAAGTGCGGATTTCTAAAAAGGTTTTGAAGGCTTTATAGAGTGAAAATAATACTGATTCAAGAACGTTGCCTTGGCTTTCCAATGTTGTGGCACTGCCAAAGTAAACGCTGTTAGCCCCAGCTTCTGCCAACCTAGCAGTTCGAAAACATGCAAATGTGAGTAAATCAATAGGTAACACTCCGGCGGGAAAGTAACAGCACTCCATGCAGTCATGCCGACCACATGACCTTGGAGGTGTCTACGGACAACGCTGGCTCTTCAGCTTAGAAACGGAAATGAGCACCAACCCCCAAAATCAGACACAACTAGACTTAATGTCAGGGGGAAACCTTTACCTTTACCTATCACTCTTTTACTGTAATTGCTGATTACCTGCCAAGAAAAAGATAAAATAGACAGCAGTGTAGGGAAGGTACAGGAGTTAATGGGAAGGGACAATGAATTAACACGGCAGGGAAAGTAGGAGAAAGGAACACTTTCAGATGCATTTCTGACCATTCATAGAATCATCATAGAATCAAAGAGTTGGAAGAGACCTCATGGGCCATCCAGTCCAACCCCCTGCCAAGAAGCAGGAATATTGCATTCAAATCACCCCTGACAGATGGCCATCCAGCCTCTGTTTAAAAGCTTCCAAAGAGGGAGCCTCCACCACATCTCCGGGGCAGAGAGTTCCACTGCTGAACGGCTCTCACAGTCAGGAAGTTCTTCCTCATGTTCAGATGGAATCTCCTCTCTTGTAGTTTGAAGCCATTGTTCCTTGTCCTAGTCTCCAAGGAAACAGAAAACAAGCTTGCTCCCTCCTCCCTGTGGCTTCCTCTCACATATTTATACATGGCTATCATATCTCCTCTCATCCTTCTCTTCTTCAGCTAAACATGCCCAGCTCCTTAAGCCGCTCCTCATAGGGCTTGTTCTCCAGACCCTTGATCATTTTAGTCGCACTCCTCTGGACACATTCCAGCTTGTCAATATCTCTCTTGAATTGTGGTGCCCAGAATTGGACACAATATTCCAGGTGTGGTCTAACCAAAGCAGAATAGAGCATGGGGTAGCATTACTTCCCTAGATCTAGACACTATGCTCCTCTTGATGCAGGCCAAAATCCCATTGGCTTTTTTTGCTGCCACATCACATTGTTGGCTCATGTTTAACTTGTTGTCCACGAGGACTCCAAGATCTTTTTCACACGTACTGCTCTCGAGCCAGGCTTTGTCCCCCATTCTGTATCTTTGCATTTTGTTTTTCCTGCCAAAGTGGAGTATCTTGCATTTGTCACTGTTGAACTTCATTTTGTTAGTTTTGGCCCATCTCTCTAATCTGTCAAGATCGTTTTGAATCCTGCTCCTGTCCTCTGGAGTATTGGCTATCCCTGTGGTGCATTTTACATTTTGTGAGGCATTGAATTTTGCCATTTACTTTGTTGTGAACTGCTTTGAGTCCCCCTAGGGGGGTTGAGAAAAGCGGTATATAATTGAAATAAATAAACATTCAATGCCTTTTTACACACATGGTGAACAATGACATACAACACAGACAAAGGTAAAGGCCTTCCTCTTTTTCCATCTCCAGCATCTGGAGACGATGTTCAACTCCGGCCATGGGAGGTGTTCTGTTCCATTTTCCCATGCCGAGGAGCTTGTTGTTTATCCATAGACTTCTCCGGTCATTGCCAGCATGTCAGGTCCTGGGAGCTCTCAGAACAAACACAGCACACAATGTTCAGCGAACACTGGATACCTTTTATTCTTGGTCACCAGAGTACAAGCAAGACAGTTCTAACTAAACAATCAGAATGGCAGGCTTTGTAGTCCCTTGGACACCAGTCCCCCTTCTCCTTACAACTTTTGATCCTCAACTTTCTAGTTCTCATAACAACAGCCAGATGGCTTTATCAGCCTCAGTTGACTCTCCCTCCTTCCTCCTCACATTCCACCATGTCGGAATGACTAATGTGGCTGTATTTCCCAAGGCCAATATTTTGCATCCTGACAGTCTGCATATGGCACCCTTTTTATCTCCCTGTCAAGGTGGTACCTATTGATTACTCGCATTACATGTTTTCAAACTGCTAGGTAAGCAGAATCTAGGGCTGACAGCCTGGAGCTCACCCCAACTTGCAGCTTTGAACTGTTAACCCTCCGGTCAGCAGATTTTGTGCAGCTAGCAATTTAACCCATTCCGCTTCTACATTTCAGCCAAATAATGACTGAAATAAGCATTGATAGTATGGAGCACATTTATCTTGTAGTCTAGACTGCTATTATAAGACAGAAACCAAAAATGGATGCAGAAATTCCAAAGGAAATGGAATTATTTCAGCATAAACTTTTCTGAACTGCATTCATGAAATATATGATTTGTGATTCTGATGATAAACATTGTGCTTTCTTATTAACTCAGTGTTATCATTTTGTTAAAAATGTTTCTTCTTTCTTACATATTTTAAATCCTGTCTTCCCACAAGGGTCATTATAATGTTTTTCTATGGTTTATTTATTTATTTATTTATTTCGGACATTTATATCCCGTCCTATCTCAACCTCCGCAGAGGGACTCAGGGCAGCTGATAACAAAAGCATAAATATACATCTTAGGTAAAAACATCGTAAGAACAGTAAAACATTAGAACAATCGCCAGAATTAAATCGTCGTCCTACACACAGTCTATTCGAGACCATCAGAGTCCATTAAACCATAGTTCTACCATCATGTTGGTCTAGTCCGCAAAGGCCTGATCCCACAGCCAGGATTTCACTTTTTTCCAGAAGGTCAGGAGGGAAGGAGCGGATCTGATTTCACTTGGGAGGGAATTCCATAGCCGAGGGGCCACCACAGAGAAGGCCCTGTCTCTTGTCCCTACCAACTGCGATTGCGATGATGGGGGGACAGTGAGCAGGGCCTCCCTGGACGATCTTAAGGTCCTAGGTGGTTCATAGCAGGAGATACGTTTGGACAGGTAAACTGAACCATTAAGGGCTTTATAGGCCAATGCTAGCACTTTGAATTGTGCATGAATTGTGCACTTTGAACTCTAAGGGTTGCTCCTTAGAATCCCTTGTTCTGGGCCTAGTTCCTGTACTCTGACTGCTTGATTAAAAATAAACAAGAGTTGGGCTATTTTGGAATCATTTACAATAGGAAAAAAACATAAAGAAGATAAAAAAAACTTTTTCACCATTTCTTTGCTTTTGCAGCAGGGTGATGCTGATGAGCCCAGAGACATGCACATTAAACCTGACCAGGAGAACAATTCCTTGTTCTTTCAGAGAAAAGGGAATGAAGAGGAACGTCGTGGTAATCAGACGAAGGTAGGTGGAGAAACCAGAAGGTGTCAAAAATGATAGGATTGTTGTTTCCAGGAAAATTATTTCCTAATAAAAAATGAATTTGGAAATAAGCAAATGTGATACTCTGCTTATAGTCACACAGGTTCTTATTATGGATTATGTATAAAGATCAAATATTTAAAACAGCCTTGTTCAACCTGGTGCCTTCCAGATGTGTTGGGTTATAATTCCATCAATTCCTAGCCAGCAATTGCTGTGGGAATTACATTCTGGAACTTCTGGAAGATGCCAAGAGGTCTCTCTTGGCATCTTTCAGAAGTTCCAGAATATTGATGGATCTAAACCACAGAAATAACCCTCCGTGGCTTGAAAGTATTTTTCTTTTAAGCTTCCCCAAAATCAAATTTTGATTTTGCCATTTTATATAAAGGGCACACTTTTACTATGCCATTGTATATAATACGTGTTGAGCTGGGTTGCTGTGAGTTTTCCAGGCTCTATGGCCATGTTCCAGAAGCATTCTCTCCTGACATTTCACCCATATCTATGGCAGGCACCCATGAAAATGAACAAAATCTGGCTACCAGTATTTAAAACCTCTAAAATCAGGACAGTGGATAAAGAGCAACACTCAAAAAATAGGGGGAATTCCAGACAAAAAGCAATCAGGGTCAGCTAACACCTCCCAACAAAGGATTCTCCCAGGAAGGAAGAAGCCAGGCTTTGAATCTGCAATGCCATTCATTGCTAATCAAGGTGGCCAAATGCAACATTCACACTTGCCTTAAGCAGACAAGAGTTCTTTCTCCCACCCTGGACATTCCACAAATAACTAACCTCACTTGCCTAGTTGCAATCAGACCTCACAACCTCTGAGGATGCCTGCCATAGATGTGGGCGAAATGCGAGATGAAAATGTTTCTGGAACATGACCAGACAGCCCAGAAAACTCACAGCAACCTAATGATTCCAGCCGTGATGGTAGAGATTGTGGAGAAAGAGCGATTCCTTGCTAGAATGAGTTGCCATCTACAGAAGCCAAATCTTTGGAAATACTGGACAAAGAGAAGCACATTGTGAAATGCTGCATCTTGCTATATCAAGAGAATATGACAGCCACCAACTTATTTATGTCTCTTTTCACTGGAGCAAAGGGAGCTGTCCCTACAGAAATTTCCCAATTTTTATTCTTGAGGTTCCCAACTCTTTGTCCTCCAAATCCAGGGACTTTAATATAGCCCCTTTCTTTTTAAAAGCATGTTATCTCTGTTTGTTAAAGGCTTAGGATGGTCAAAAAGTATTTATTCACTTTTCTACATATATAAGCTGGCATTTATGACATATACACCATAGTTATACACACATCCATAAAGTCCCTTGGGCATGCAGTTGAACGTTTTTGGCCATGACATGATGCCTATATTCAGCAAAAGGTTGTGAAAGCTGAGTTGTTGATATGCTGTCTTTTCACATGTAGTGTTGTTATGCATTGTGTATTGTAAAAGCACATAGTACACTGTGTGTTGCAATTACACATTTCATGCTTGTTTGCACTTTCAGTTACACAGTGTTGCAATTTACTAATGCACAATTATATGTGAGTGTGTAGTTTACACTTGATCTCTTTGTTGTAGGATCTCTGCTATTGTCTGTCCTTAAAATGTACAGCCCTAGGAGGCCTTTTTCCGTGTCACTTACATATTCAAAATATTTAGAAATGAGGTACTGATTGGTACAGAATGCAGCTGACAATGTATTCAGTTCTGATAATGCATAAATACATTGGTTGATGACATAGGGAAGGGAGGATTTATGTACATTAGCCAAATAGTCCACTGCCTTACTAGGTATACAACTCTGTGTTTACTTACCTTCCTTGACTCCTGAGCTACACCTTTCATTCATATTCATTACGGATTTCCATTTGTAAGCACTTGGAGGAACTTGTCTTTTTTCTGTTACTTTTCTGTTATTTGTAGAACAATCTGTGCACACGCGGAAAGAGTCCTGTTAACATGTTCAAAACAGTTTCAAAAGGGAATAATAAGACTGAATCAACATACTCAAAGATGGGGCTATAGCACCATAATTGAGCACACGTTCCCAGTGATCATACTCAATAGAAGCAGTGATGTTTCCCAATCCCTGAAGCAGAAATCCTTTCAATCTTAACTTTGAAGAAGCTCTCCAAGGATCTGAACCCTGTCCCCAAAAAAGGCTCAGGACTCTGGAAAACCCTTTTAAAAAATTGGATTTCTTCTTCTCCTTCTCTTTCTCCTTCTCCTACTAACTACTAACTAGGTAAAGATAAAGGCTTCCCTTTGACATTAAGTCTAGTCATGTCCAACTCTGGGGGTTGGTGCTCATCTCCATTTCTAAGTCCAAGACCTGGCATTGTCCATAGACACCTCCTAGGTCATGTAGCCTAGGAGGTGCTCTATTTATGACTACATAGAGCACCGTTACCTTCCCGCAGAAATGGTACCTATTGATCTACTCACATTTGCATGTTTTTGAACTGCTAGGTTGGCAGAAGCTGGGACTAACAGCAGGAGTTCACCCTGTTCTCTGGAGTTTTAACTGCCGACCTTTAGTTTAGCAAGTTCAGCAGCTCAGCAGTTTAACCTGCTGCACCACCAGGGGCTCCCAACTACTTACTACTAACTACTTATTTATATACTGCTTTTTCTCTCTTCAAGAGACTAAAAGTCAAACAGATTCACTAGCAAGATCATCTAATGGTTGAACAGCTATTATGACATTCATTATTCCCAGTTACTGTGTGCAAAAATTGACCCAAAGAGGAGAGTCAGGAAACCAAAGTCCATCCTTGCTTGTCTTTCCAACAGATATGTTTTTTTTGCTTTTGATTTGTTTTTTGAGTAAGACAAACCTAATTTGGACTTGAAGAATCCAGTCATGTTGACCAGCAGTTATGCGCCAAAGAATATGTTAAAAGTGTATATATGCATCTATCTCATTATATTTCCTTTGCAAAATGGTTGTGCTGCAACATACCAACTAGGAAAGAGGAGTGTCTAGAAAAAAAACTGCTGGAAAATAACGATTGAATCTTTTTTTTAGTGGGGGAAAAACAGAATGGACAAACTTCCTAAATACTCCCCAGGTTGACTAAATGCCTTGTCTGGAATGCTTGGGGCCTAGAAGTGTTTTGAATTTTGGATTTATGGAATATTTCTACTTGAATATTAAGTACATCATGAGATAAATTGGAGATGAGACACAAGTCTTACTATGAAATTCATGTATGTCTCATGTGCAACCTTTTACATGTAACCTTTCATGTAATATTTGTAATAACTTTTGTGTACACTAAACCATCAGTAAGCAAAATTATCACTATCTTAGCCACCCATGTGTGGAGTATTTTAGATTTCAAAATTCTGGATGAGGAATGCTCAACCTATAATAATTTTCTGAAAATGAGTTTAGGAAGTATGAAGTGAAGTGACACAAAGGTCATAAAAATCCATTGTTAAACATTCTGATTTTAGAAACATTATTATTATATTATTCTGTGTGGGGCTGCCTTTGAAGATAATTCGGAAGCTACAACTGGTGCAGAGATCGACAGCGAGGTTACTAACTATAGCATCATATCATGAGAGGACAATTCCCATGTTGCGGCAGCTCTATTGGCTGCTGATCTGCTTCCAGGCTAAATACAAAGTGTTGGTCGTTATCTATAAAGCCCTAAACAGTTCAGGCCCAGATTATTTGCAGAACCGCATCCCCGTATACAAACCGGCTCGATCACTGCAATCTGCAGAGGAGGTCCTGCTCTCGGTCCCACTTCCGTCTCAAGCACGGCTGATAGGAACGAGAGAGGGGGCCTTCTCCATGATCACTCCCCACCTCTAGAACTCCCTCCCAAAAGAACTTGGTTGATTTTTATTTGGTGCTAGCGGTCCCTTGCCACGCGTTGCTGTGGCCCAGCCTGGTGATATGGAAAATAAAGTAATTAGAAAGTGCTGGTTTCTAATATATGTAATGTCTTGATGCTTGTGGGCAAACAGTATTTCTTGATGTTTCTTTGACAGTGTTGACGTAGAGATTGTCTGGTTTGCCTACTCTGGAACAGGCAATATATAATTGTCCTTCTTTAGGGGTCCCTTTCAAATCTACAAATTTATATGTGTGTGTGTGAATCTTATATATCTATCTACATCTATGGCTGGATGGCTCTCTATCAGGAAGGCTTTAATTATGTTTTCTTGCCCTGGTGAAGGGAGTTGGACTGGATGGCCTTAAGTATTTTCTGTTGGTCATGGGGGTTCTGTGTGGGAAGTTTGCCCCAGTTCTGTCATTTGTGGGGTTCATTCAGAATGGTCTTAGATTGTAGGTGAACTATAAATCCCAGTAACTACAACTCCCAAATGCCAAGGTCTATTTCCCTCAAACTCCATCTGTGTTCATATTTGGACGTATGGAATATTCATGCCAAGTTTGGTCCAGATCCATCATTGTTTGAGTCCACAGTGCTCTCTCGATGTAGGTGAACTGCAACTCCCAAACTCAAGGTCAAGGCCCACCAAACCCTTCCAGTAACTTCTGTTGGTCATGGGAGGCCTGTGTGCCAAGTTTGGTTCAATTCCATCGCTGGTGGAGTTCAGAATGCGCTTTGATTATAGGTGAAATATAAATCTCAGCAACCACAACTCTGAAATGACAAAATCATAATTTTTTGAGTGATGGTCTCTCCTTGTGTAGTTAGATGTTTTGTTGCCAAATTTGATGTGATTTCGTTCATTGGGTTTTTTTGTTTTTGAGGCACTCATTATGCACAGAGCATTTTTTTATATATAGATTAAGTTTATAGTAATGGCTGTCCTATTTTTTGTGATGCGTCATATTTTGATGTAATCCATTATATGTCTCTTTGTTGGCATTTAATCTTTGCCATATATGTTGGAAACAGCCCTGAGTCCCTCTGGGGAGATAGGGCAGTCTATAAATAAAGATTATTATTATTATTATTATTATTATTATTATTATATTGTTATTATATTTATTATGTTTATTTATATCCTGCTTTTTCTCTCCATATGGAGACTCAAAACGCTTCACAACTAAAGCACTACAATACAGCTTAAAATATATAAATAGACAAATATTAAGATTTCTCCAACATTGGAAAAGTTCCCTTATGTGATATTATGGGCAAGAATTCCAGACCATACTTCAGGACAGAATTTGCCAATGATGTATACAAAGTATTAGAAGTTAGCTTATAAATTGGGTTGAGTTTATGTTATTTTATGTTTTGCTTTGATTGTCTATTTGTTTTTGGGCATTGAATGTTTGCCATTTTGTTATTTATTTGTAAACTGCCCTGAGTCCCTTTGGGGAGAGAGAGTGGGATATAAATATATTATTATTATTATTATTGTTATTATTATTATTATTAAAACAGTACTAAACATTTTTAACCTTAGCTTTATGCTAGTACATAATTTAGGTTATACCGGCCCGGCATTGTGTATATCTAGGTGATTTTGTCTGGGTAAGCATACTTATGCTGGGTGTCCTATGGTGTTTGTCTGGGTGTGAGTACAATATGACCCAATCCTTTAACTTGTGGTTACACATTGGCACACCTACCATTCCTATTCACTGTGTGCCATGGGCAATAAATCAAGCTGTAACCACAATTAAACAGTAACCACTATAAATCAACTAATAAAGGAGAGCTTGAGAGAGAAAGAGTAATAATGAATTTAATTTTTGAAGTGCCACTGAGTCTGTAGACAAATTGGCACCACTCAAGAACAAGAAAGAGGCTTCAGCATGTCAGTTGGAAGCCCAATATTTATAGAAGTACAACTTTTAAAAAAACTCTTAGTGGATAAATAAAACACCATTTGTACAAAAAGGGCTGAGCACAGTGTCTAGTTAAGGTATGGACAAACCCTGGCTCAGGAGCCGGATGTGGACCCTTGGGCTCTTTACCTAGGCCCTTCTCTCTCTCCCACCATCCTATCCTTCCTTCCTTCTCACTTTCCTTCCTCCTTCTCTCCCTCCCTTCCTTGCCTCCCTTTCTCCTTCCACCCATCCTTCCCTTCCATCCTTTCGCCCTTCCTTTCCCCCCTTTTTCCTCCTTCCTTCTCTCTCTTTCTCCTTATTTTTTCCTTTCCTTCCTTCCCTTTTGTCTTCCCTCCCTCCCTCCGTCCATTCCCTTCCACTCTTCTCTTCCTCCCTTTCTTCCTCCTTCCCTTCCTTCTCTTTTTTCCTTCCTCCTTTCCTCCAGGGGAATATTTAGCTGGGAGAAAAGAAGGTAGAGAGGGAACATGAGAACCATGTTTCAAGATTTAAAAGGGTGTCCCATTGAAGAGGAAAAGGGGAGAAAATGACTTTCTGCTGCTCTAGAGACCAGCAAGGGAGCAATGGTTTCAAATGGCAGGAAAAGAGATTTGGCTAAAAAGATTAGGAAGAACTTCCTGAGAGTAAGAGCTGTTGGAGAGTGGCATAGACTGCCTGGGAGTGTGATGGAGACTCCTTCTCTAGAGGCTATTCCACAGAGGCTGTCTATTGGGAGTGCTTTGATTGTGCCTTCTTGCATGGCAGGGGGTTGGACTGGATGGCCCTTGGAAGTCTCTTCCAGCTGTAGGATTTTATATCAGAAGTAGGCAATATGGGGTGTAATGGATACACTTTTTCTCTCCCATCCACCATATCGTCCTGAGCAAAACCAACCCTTTTGAGATCCAAATGCTTCCCATCTTTCCTTCACTTTCTGCCTCCAAAAGAGAAGAGGAAAGGAAGGAAAGGGCAGGGAGAGAACTTGGGGAGAACCTCCTCTGGCACGGCCCGGCCCGGCCACCCCACTCCGGCCCGGCATGTGGCCCCAAAGTTAGAAAGTTTGCCCGTGCCTGGTCTCGTTGGCTGGAGATTCTTAACAAAAGCATGCAGCAGTGCAATGTCATCTGGAATACTGTGTCCAGGTGAATTTTGAGAATCTCTGTTCAGAAAATGATCAAAGGTTTGGAAGCCAAGCCTTCTGAGGAGCATCTGAGACAACTGGGTACGTTTAGCTTGGAGAAAAGAAAGGATGAGCAGGGACATGATAGCCATGTTTCAATATCTGAGAGAAGGAGAAAGCTTGTTTTCTGCTTCTCTGGAGTTAAGGACGCAGAGCAATGGATTCCAAATTTGGGGGGGGGGGGGATTCCACCTAAACATTAGGAAGGACTTCCTAACAGTAGGAGCTGCTTGACAGCAGAATGTGCTGCTTCCTGGGAGTTCAGTGGAGTCTCCTTCCCTGGAGTAAAATGGGCTGAACTTTAGCACAGCTGGTTAATCAGCAGCAATAGACCACACCAATTGAAAGTTTGGCAGTTTGAAACCCGGGTTGGGGTGAGCACCCAACCTTCAGCTCAGCTTACTGTCCACCTAAGCAATTTGAAAACAGCTATGAGCTGTGAGTAGAGAAATTAGGCACAGCTTAAGCAGGAAGGTATTTTATGGCATCATAAAAAGGAAATACCAGAAAATGCTGGGTGGCCATCTGTTGGGAGTGCTTTGATTGTGTGTTTCTGGATGGGTTAGACTGCATGGCCTTTGTGGTATCTTCTAACTCTCCTATTCCGACCATTTTAGTAGATCTTTAGTGTTTAAAATCCTTCTAAAAATATTAATCTCACGCAGTGCTTCTAGTGCTGAAGGTATCTTTTTTTTGTAGAGATTTTGACTAGGTCGTCTTTTCAGCTTCAATTTTTATTTCAAAAGCAATACATAAACATTACATGGTGCCTTAGGCTTTGAAATGCACTACCTGAAACCTTGTCTTCCATGCACTAGAAAACACCTCTGCCTATCTCAAAGGGATAGCCGTTTAATGAGCAATGAGTCAGCCCACTGACTTCCTGTGTGCTCAGGACTACCTGGGTAAATGCAAATCGGCGACTAAGAAACCTGTTGCACCAGATTATATGGCTTGCCCGGTGGTTGGGCTTACGTTTTCTTTGGTTTACCTTTCCCTGTTCTTCCATAATCCATCTATTAAGATGTGTTTGCCAGCTCACACTGCTTTTTGAATTAACTGCTCTGTAGCTCATAGGTCTTCCTGTGTTTGAATTGTCTTTCTTGCAGGGTAAGCCCTCCACTGAAGTCACAAATATTCCAGAATGCTTTTGGACATCGCTGCAAGAATCCAAGGAAACTGTGGACTCTGATGGACCTGAGTCTGACCCTGCGCAGGTCCTTCATGTGTGCCAGGCACAAATTGCTGAGCTGGAAATGTGGATAAAACAAGCCAAGGAGTCCTTAGGGTCAGAAGCCCAGACTGGTCAAATGCAGCAGGCGGTGGAGCAGCGTCTTGCTGCGTGCCAGGTAAGCCGAACTGGTCAAAGTTCACTGGTGTCCTTATCTCATAAAACAACTCACCTTTCCCTCTCATTCTGAGAATGAGATAACAATGGCTTTGGGTATCACTGGATTCAGTATAGCAAGCTGGCAGATAGCAAAATTCCTCCACTGGTTGGACTGGCTAGGGATCCTGGGAGTTGCAATCCCAAAAGCAGATGCTTCCAAAATGGCTAGAGGTCATTTTTCCATAGTCTTAATCTAGTCAGTGGTTCTCAACCTGGGGTCGCCAGATGTTTTTGGCCTTCAACTCCCAGAAATCCTAACAGCTGGTAAACTGGCTGGGATTTCTGGGAGTTGTAGGCCAAAAACATCTGGGGACCCCAGGTTGAGATCCACTGAGCTAGATGTTGTCTTCTAAATCACTAATTCATAAAATGTAAGCCCTTACCCCAAATGGAATTCCCTTAGCTCAGTGTATGGTGGTGCAGTGGGTTAAACCGCTGAGCTGCCGAACTTGCTGACCGGAATGTTGGCAGTTTGAATCCAGCAAGTGGGGTGAGCTCCCGCTGCTAGCTCCAGCTTCTGCCAACCTAGCAGTTCAAAAGCATGAAAATGTAAGTAGATCAATAGGTACTGCTCCAGTGGGAAGGTAATGGCATTGCATGCAGTCATGCTAGCCACATAACCTAGCAGGTGTCTATGGACAATGCTGGTTCTTCCACTTAGAAATGGAGATGAGCACCAACCCCCAGAGTTGGACACAACTAGACTTAATGTCAGGGGAAACCTTTACCTTTGTAGCTCAGTGTTGGGGTCATGAAAAATTTGGCAACAGTTCAAAGATTTCTGTAAACCACCAATTTACTCGAATCTGTTATCCAAAAGGCGCAGTGCTTATAGGGGACTCTGCTGAAAGTGTTTCAGCTATACTTCCTAAAAAGAAAAATCAGCCTGTTTAGCAAGCTTGCTTTTTTTTAATTCCGGCCACCAGGGGAGCTGTTGCTTCACCATCCACTTGTGACACTGATGGAGTACCCCCTCATTCTTTTGCACATTGCTGGAGAGTTTTATGGTGTCGTAAATTAGTTAAATTAGCCTCCCCGCATAAGTGGTACCTAAATTTCCTACTTGACAGATGCAACTGTCTTTCAGGCTGCAAAGGTTGGCAGCAGGCTAGACAAATGGTCAGGAGCTTACTCTGGCTTCAAAGTCATGACCTTTCAGTCAATAGTGATTTAATGCAGCTGACTTCCAACCAGCTGCACCACAACTCGGTATGTATGTATGTATGTATGTATGTATGTTCTACATAGGCTCCTACATGACTTGATGGATCTGGACCAAACTTGGTACACATACCCTTCATGGTCCAACTTAAAATATTGATGGGGTTTCAGTGAAAAGTCAACCCCATTTTAGGGTTCCTAAAATTAATAAATAGGTATGTATGTAATTCTCAAAGGTAACCACAAGAGGGCAGTATATAGATAGAAAAGCTAAATCAGGGGGGAAATGACAAATGGAAATGACTAAACTTCTATGAGGGTCATAGCATTGCCATAGAGATGTTCTATGGGTGGCCTTATCAGAGGACCAACCAAGGATGGAAGTGAGCTGAGGAAGGGAGAAAGGCATTCTTAAGATTACCAAAGCTGTGTAATAATCCAGTTCTTCGCAGAATCCTATATAAAGAAAAGGGCAATGCTCGGTACATATGCCAATGGAACATAAATAGAGCAATGATGAACAGATATGGTTGTTAGTAAAGGACCACTGCCATTGGATATTGAATAAGGGGATTCCCAATAGGCGTAATGCCTTGGCATTGGAAGTAAAGAAGTCTAAATCATACCTCCTTCCATCAGTCCTGGCACATGGATATAAGGTTTTTCATTTTTTAAAAAACCACAATGTTTCCCCCCCTCCTAATTTTTCTTCTTTTGAAGACAGGTTTTAACATGCACAGGTAGGTCTTAATGAAATCTCTCAAACGGATACGATTTTTGGTAGGGCTACAATTAGTTTTGCGTTGCCTTTCACCTCCCATTACTATATAATTTGTGCAAACATCCTTACTTTTAATCGTTCCTGAGGTTGTGGTGTCACAGGACTTGGGATATTTCTGGCAAAGGTTGGGGATCTAGCTCTTCTTTATTGTAAGGTAGGGCAGTATAGCAGCCCTGCTTATGTCATACTTTATTACATAGGAAGAATTTCTAGTAGGGATGTAATTCTTTACTCAGCTTCCTTTGAAAGGAAGCAACAAGTAATTTCAGATTCTGTGATAAGGTATTTGGAAACCCTTTTTGACCCCTTTTTATAGTTCAGGACTTAAGAGAGTATATGCACTCTGGAATTAATGCAGTTTGACAGTTTGCAACCTAAATATGTCACTTGACACTTTTACTGCTATGGGTCAATGCTATAGAACGATGACACTGTGATGGCATGCCCGAGCCTTTGGGGAAACTATATTGTCTGGCTTTCCTCGGGGACTATCTGATACCTTCTGTTAAGATTAAAACCCTTTAACGCAGGGGCACTTTAGGCAAGGTGAAAAGATAACCAAATGAGTCTACTGAAACAAGATGAATAAAGGGTTAACTCCACTTCGTACTATCATAAGGTAACTTAAAACAATATATTACAAAAGGAGCCTTTGCTAGTTGTAGTCATCTTTCTGGAATATTTGAAAGTCTTTTAGCCTCTGGTGCAAAGCAATGGTTTATAAGTTGTTACTTACAAACTGTCTCAATCTTCTCTCCTGTGAAGCTTAGGCTGGCCAAAAGCTTCTGTTGTCCTTTGGACTAATGGTATAAAATACTGCTAAATGCTGCAGCAGAAGCAAGTGCTAAGAATGCCTGTTTTGAATTGCTTGGCCTAGGATTTCAGACAACATCCAAACCTCTAATTCACTGTAGCTCTGTTGTAGAAAGAAGGAGGAGTCCAGCAAAGAGCTCTGTACAGGGAAAAGGAATAGATGAATAGATGAACTCAGATGGGCCTCTCGGGGGATTTTAAGCTCCATCAAAAAAACTAATACAAAGGAAGTTATTTACACTATTTGGAAAGCATATAAACAGGGGGAACTAAAGCAGAGGAGAGGAGAAGGCAGAGCCAAGACTTCACAACAACTGTAGTTGACCTCACTACCTCTGAGGATGCTTGCCATAGATGCAGGTGAAACATCAGGAGAGAATGCCTCTAGACATGGCCATATAGCCCGAAAAAACCTACAACAACCCAACTGTAGTTTTAAAAGGTCTTCAGGCTTCTCTGCCAAAGAGTCCTAGTTTCTTCAATGGCTTCAAACTACAGGGAATGAGATTCCGCCTGAACATGAGGAACAACTGTGAGAACTGTTCAGTAGTGGAACTCTCTGCCCCACAGTGTGGTGGAGGCTCCTTCTTTGGAGGCTTTTAGACAGAGGCTGGATGGTCATCTGTCAGGGGTGCTTTGAATGTGATTTTTCTGAGGTTGGACTGGATTACCCACGAGGTCTCTTCCAACTCTATGATTCTATTATTCTTTCCCTCACTAGAAAACAACTTCCAGGATTCCATAGCACTGAGCTATGGCAATTAAAGTGGTGCCAGATTGCATTACAACTGTGTAGGTGCACCCATCGGCACATTCTAAGTGTCTTTCCCATCCAAACTTTGCATTGGCCCTACTCTTCTCTGTTGAGGTCTTCACTTCAGAGATATTTATTTACCTGTCATTCCTTTCTCTGTCAATCTCAGGCACCCCAAGCTTCTTGTTTTCTTCATATTATTTGTTTTTTTAGAACATCCTTTTAATAATTCCCACAAGAGATATGACACTACCCATCTCTGTCCTTTTTATGTCCAATCTTATGGTTAGAAAATTTATTCTAACTGTTTTTGTTCAGTTTCCACTCATTGCGTTTAAACTATTTGCCAATGGAGCAACAAGTTTGTTCCATCTTCTTCATGGCTTCCCTTTGGATATTTGTAGAGTACATGCCTTCTCTTCTCCAGGCTGACCTGGGACTTTCGTTTATTTATTACAGGAATCTAGATGTATTCCTGTTTGTCATATTCTGAAATGTGGTACTTGTGCTCTATTAGTGTTGCCAACCGTATTTCCTTTCTTCCCGTTCTCCTCCCTTAATGTAAATATTTAGATTGCAGTCTTCTTGGGATAGTGATTTGATTTACTTTCTCTGTCATCATGTGAAGTGTGTGTACATTGATAAAGTACATCGATGAGATTGGTCCGCTGAGGGAAAATGAAACGGAATGCCTTAAAGGCACCAAATTCCATTTGATCTTGGCTAAGAAGGGTCAGCCCTGGTTAGCACTTGGATGAGGGGTCCTCGATGAATAGCAAATGTTGTAGACTACATTTTATGTATTATTTCCATTATTTTATTTCATTTTTACCCTGCCTTTCTCACCCCACAGGGGACTCAAGGCAGCTTACAAATTTTGGTACAATTCAATGCCACATGGACATTGTATTTATGATAGTACCAATTAGGAAATGACATGGATAACCCAGGAACAAAAATCATGTGACAATGTTTCCCCCTTATGGGAAGGAATGTTATTTTTTTATTTTTTTATTTTTTTTATTTTTTATTTTTTTTATTTTTTTATTTTTTAATTTTTTAATTTTTAAAACGTTTAAAATTATTTCCATTATTTTATTTCATTTTTACCCTGCCTTTCTCACCCCACAGGGGACTCAAGGCAGCTTACAAATTTTGGTACAATTCAATGCCACATGGACATAACAATAAAACACACCCCATTAAATTATAACACAGTTAAATATTCCAAGAGAAGGACTATAAAAATCAACTTCCTTTTAAAAAAATCATGTGAAATTCATGGGGATGGCAATTTGAGGGCACATGTGTGCATATACAGAATGTTCAGGCTGCAATGCTATGAAATTCATGGGGATGGCAATTTGAGGGCACATGTGTGCATATACAGAATGTTCAGGCTGCAATGCTATGTTTTCATTTATTTATTTATTTATTTGTTTATTTTCTTAGTTGTTGTCGTTGGTTGTGTTGTTTATTCATTCAGTCGCTTCTAACTCTTTGTGATTTCATGGACCAGCCCACGGCAGAGCTCCCTGTCGACCGACACTACCTTCAACTCCTTCAGAGTCAATCCAGTCACTTCAAGGATACCATCCATCCATTTTGCCCTTGGTCAGCCCCTCTTCCTTTTTCCTTCCATTTTCCCCAGCATCATTGTCTTCTCTAAGCTTTCCTGTCTTCTCATTATGTGGCCAAAGTACTTCATCTTTGCCTCTAATATCCTTCCCTCCAGTGAGCAGTCAGGCTTTATTTCCTGGAGTATGGACTGGTTGGATCTTCTTGTGGTCCAAGGCACTCTCAGAATTTTCCTCCAACACCACAGTTCAAAAGCATCTCTCTTCCTTCACTCAGCCTTCCTTATGGTCCAGCTCTCACATCCATAGGTGACTATGGGGAATACCATTGCTTTGACTATGCAGGTCTTCGTTGCCAATGTGATGCCCCTATTCTTCACTATTTTATCGAGATTGCTCATTGCTCTTCTCCCAAGAGGTAAGCGTCTCCTGATTTCCTGGCTGCAGTCTGCGTCTGCCGTAATCTTTGCACCTAGAAATACAAAGTCTTTCACTGCCTCCACATTTTCTCCCTCTATTTCCCAGTTATCAATCAGTCTTGTTGTCATAATCGTTGTTTTTTTATGTTTAACTGCAACCCAGCTTTTGCACTTTCTTCTTTCACCTTAGTTAGAAGTCTCCTCAGGCCCTCCTCAGTTTTGGCCATCAAAGTGGTATCATCTGCCTATCTAAGGTTGTTAATGTTTATTCCAGCAATTTTTATCCCAGTCTTGCATTCATCAAGTCCTGCACATCGCATGATGCGTTCTGCATACAAGTTGAATAGGTTGGGTGAGAGTATACAACCCTGCTGTACTCCTTTCCCAATCTTGAATCAGTCTGTTGTTCCATGGTCAGTTCTTACTATTGCTACTTAGACGTTATACAGCTTCTTCAGGAAACAGACAAGGTCTCCTTTATTTATTTATTTATTTGCCAGATTTATATCCTTCCTTTCTCTCCCCGGAGGGAACTCAAGGCGGCCTTACAACAGGCAGGAATTTGATGTTGTTTGGGTGAAGTGTAGTATCATATGTCTCCCACTCCCAGAAGGTGACTCTGCAGAACACAAGACATGTTTTCTTAAAGATCAGGAGAAGGGATATAAGCCTGCAGTTTGCTGCAAGTAGAAGGGAACTGATGTTGCTGTCTTGGAACCACGGTGACTTACTTGGAGAGGATGTGACCCGCTTTCACCTAGTTCTAATATTTTTATTTATTTATTTATTTACTGCATTTATATCCCATCCTTCTCAAGGGACTCAGGGCGGCTCACAAAACAGGCACAATTCGATGCCATATATACATACACAAGATAATACAAAATATTCATTGAACTAGAACTCAGCTCCACTAAATAAACCTGTGCAAACCAGTGTGAGCAGAAATACTACCAATTTAGGAACAAGATACCTTTGAGGACATGCTAGTTGGAATCAGCATAATACAAATCCTTTCCTTCCTATTTTTTTCTCATGTTCTACCCTCCACTGATCAAATTGCAGGAAGATGTGAGGGTAGAATTACATGCTTCTGTTCTTGGATAATTGGGAGCCCAAAACTCCTGCCAATTTATATCTGCTCCAATCTTGCTCTAAAAACTACAGACATTAGCAATACCACATCAAAGTTTGCAATTATCTGCATATCTCATTGTCTTCTAAACTACCTTCCCCTTGTAGAAAACTTAAAAGTATTTTTAAAAAATGCTTTCCCACCCCTAAACAGTCCAAAGGGAGAGGAAACACGCGCCATTTTCGGATTGTCCCCCCTGGTCACTGTTTCCAGCTCTTCTTCTACCCTATTAGTTTATGGTCACTTTAGCAAGTAAAGGTCACTAAAGAATGAATGATTAACTGCTTGACTTCCCCAGATCATGTTATCAGAGATTGAACAGAAAGTGGCGTGTCTATTGGAGAATTGCAAAGACAGGCCTGCCAGCGATTGCCCAAATCTCCAGGAAGAAGCCGAGAGCCTTTCCCTGAAGCTTAGAGATGTGAAGCTCAGCTTGGAAAAAGTCCAGGGCATGCTCCAAGACAAACACGCAGAAGAAGAGGTAAAGCAAATGCTGCTGCCTTTGCATTTTTAGGAAACATGTATTTTTGTGTATCTGCTATGTTTGCTGGATGACCTCTTGTTGTGTGTATGTTAGAGTCACAAATGTTTCCAGGTACATTAATGAACCTCTGATGATGCTTGCCATAGATGCAGGCAAAACGTCAGGAGAGAATGCCTCTAGAACATGGCCATACAGTCCGAAAAAACCTACAACAACCCAGTGATTCCAGCCATTTTATATTCCAGTATTTTATATTCTCTGTCAGAAAGAGTGGGTTGGAACATCCTAATTCTAAGTATCTCCTCAAAACTACAAGTCCTGGGATTTTTTTAGGACTGAATCATAGCAGTTAAAGTGCTATGACATTGCTATAATTGTGCAATGTCAAGATAAATTTGGAGTGTATGTAGAGGCAGAAGACCAATGTGGTGTGCTGGACTAAACCCATCTCCCTGTAGTGTATTTATTTATTTATGACATTTATATCCCGCCCTTCTCACACCAAAGGGGACTCAGAGTGGCTTAATTGACATAATTTCACGCCCAAACAATAACAATTCAAAGCAATTAAACAACAATTCAAAGTGATGGTCTTGACCTATAAAACCCTATACGGCTCTGGCCCAGCGTACCTGTCCAAACGTATCTCCTTCTACGTCCCACCTAGGAATTTAAGATCTTTTGAGGAGGCCCTGCTCTTGGCCCCACCTCTATCACCAGTGAGGCTGGTGGGGACGAGGGACAGTGCCTTCTCGGTGGTGCCCCCCCCCCCCGCCTGTGGAATTCACTCCCCGGGGAAATTAGATTATCATCATCCCTTTTCTCTTTCAGAAGGAAGTTAAAAACATGGATTTGGGACTAGGCCTTTGGGTAATCTGGCAGACTGACAAGGACAATGACAACTAGAGCTTTGGAAAGGATTATGATAATGCTGAATGGACTTACGGATTATAGAACTCGGTGAACGTTGGCCATGAGATTGGCTTTTCTTTTATTAGTTGTTATTGTATTAATTAAATGTTTTTAACTATTTATAATAGTTGCTGTTATATATTTTACTATGTTGAATTGTTGGCATCGAATTGTGCCAGTTGTAAGCCACCCTGAGTCCCCCCCTAGGGGGTTGAGAGGGGTGGGGTAGAAGTGCTCGAATAAATAAATAAATTTAAAACAACATTAAAACAACATATATAAACATTTGACAACTATTGTGCATAGATCCAAAGCCAGATAGTCAAATAATCGTATGCATCAGACCAGGGTCAATTCCAACTGTATTGCACAGATAGTAGTATGCTTTATTGATTAGTCCATTGGCCATATCAAAAACATTTGACTAACACATACACATAGAGCATACTATCCACAGTATGACATAAGTTAAAATAAACAACCCGCAGTACAATGTAAGTTAAAATAAGCTGTTAACAAGGTTCCAATCCAAATAAAATAAATATGCTTGCTTCCAAAGCCAAATTTTCACTTGTTTGCAAAATGACAGGAGAGAAGGGGCCAGTTGAATCCCACTAGGGAGGGAGTTCCACAGCTGAGGGGCCACCACTGAGAAGACCATGTCTCTTGTGCCCACCTGCCCTCGAAGGTGGTGGGACCAAGAGCAGGGCCTCCCCAGAAGATCTTGACCTCCATGATGGTTCATAAAGGGAGATGCTTTTGAACAGGTAAGTTGAACCAGGGCCATTCAGGGCTTTATAGGCTAAAGCCAGCACTTTGAATTGTGCTCGGTAGCAAACCAGCAGCCAGTGGAACTGGCCCAACAGGGGGGGGTTGTGTGCTCCCTATATGCCGCTCCCGTTGTGTGCTCCCTATATGCCGCACATTGGACTAATTGAAGCTTTTGAACAGTTTTCAAAGGCAACAGTTCCATGCTTGTTGAATAAAACCAAGGATCATGGCCATAGTTCCTGTGACAAGGAGATGTGACCATGCCCCCTGATGCCTTAGCGCAGTTAACCACAGTATGCATGCAAGTCTAATAATGGTCTGCAAAAACATGCCTATAGCCAATGTTAGGCTGTTGACAATGCAAAACTTGGCTGAGCAAGTCATGGAGTGGGCAAAAATTCCCCTTTGTTGGTACAGTGCAGCATTATCCCAGGCTGAATATAAGGCATTCTTATGTGATTTTCCCTCTGTCCAGCTTCTCACTGTTTGCCTCCCAATTGGAATACTAAGAGATATGGATGGGGAATATAGGCTAAAGGTTGGCATTCCCGACTGCATACGGAGGTTCCAACCAAAAACATATCTTGGGCCTACAGAAAAATGTTGGCATGCGTTGACTCTGAAGACCAAGGCTCGGTTCCTTGCTCAGCCTGGAAATCCACTGAGGCACACTCTGCTCCAGAAAAGTCCATGATAGGGTCACCCTAAGTCAGAAATGGCTAGAAACCACACAACAACAACAACAACAACAACAACAACAACGGGTACTAGCTTCATGATCCCAAAGCTCACAGTTCGTCACCCCAAAAAGTAAAACGGTTCCCAAAGGCTTTAATAAAACCCCATGTTTTGATTTCACACAAAAACAAGACCACTTCCGAGGAGATAAAACCATAAAAGGCACCACAGCAGAAGAGACAGAGTGGGAAACCATTGTAGTTTTACTACTCTGAAACCAATGTGGACTGAATGTTTGTTGGCCTGAATATGGTCATAGAGGTGTTCCAAGTGCAAAACAAAAAAAAAAACTTCCCAAAGAAAGCCTTTTCTATATAAAGGTCACCCCAAAAAGGCCCAATTCTGAAAAGAAGTCAGAAGTGAGTAATGACTACAAACAAACTGGAATATGTGCTCTCTGTCATTTAAGCTTACCCCATAATTACCTCCCCGGCAGTGCCAGTAATGGGGTGTCGTGTTCAGTAGACTTCTTTTGCGCAGCCTAGGCTATGTCTTTGACAATTTGGTCACCTTAAGAAGAACACCAATTACAGAAACAATTGATGACCTTTTTTGAGTACTGCATGAAAAAATTCTGAGACTTGCCATTGCAAGCATTTCTTTCTGTCACTGCTATAGAAGTGAAGGAGAAGCTTGAGGGACTACATGAGCTACATGGATTTGGCAGTGAAATGCAGCTATTTCTCATAGGGTCTCCATGCTTTGGAAGATCAAAGCTGACAGTGATTAAAACTCATTTCTGCATTTATTTGCTTAATTAACACAATGTTCTCCATTTATGGGACCCAAGGAGGCTTACACCTGTTAACATAAAACAGGTTTTTTTCAAGTCAGGGGCAACTTGAGAAACTGCAAGTCACTTCTGGTGTGAGAAAATTGGCCGTCTACAAGGACATTGTCCCGGGGTACGCCTGGATGTGTTACCATCCTGTGGGGGGCTTCTCTCATGTCCCCTCATGGGAAGCTGGAGCTGACAGACAGGAGCTTACCCAACTCCCAGGATTCGAACCACCGACCTTCCATTCAGCAGTCCTGCCGGCACAAGGGTTTAACCCATTGCGCCGGCATGGGCTCCAGAAAACAGCAGTTAAAAACCTGATAATACCTAATAATAAAAAACTCTAAAGCAAATGCATAATTTTATTCACAGCATTTTTTACCCCGCCCTTCTCAACCCCCGAAGGGGGACTCAGAGCGGCTAACACAGGCTGCAATTCAATGCCACAATATCAATAAACACCAGTATAAAACCATAAATACCTAAAATGTTAAAAACAGTAACAATTAATTATATAATCACATAGCCGTTTCCAATTATCATAACAGTTGTCAGGTCCAGTTCCATGTTCAAAGTGCTACTGTGCCCACTAGCCGAAAGCCTGCTTCCAAAACCACAATTTTAGTTTTTTTTCCTGAAGGAAAGGAGGACGTCGATCTAATCTCACTTGGGAACGAATTCCACAAGTGGGGGGTCACCACCACAAAGGCCCTGCCTCTCGTCCCCACCAGGCGTGTTTGCAAGGCTGGTGGGACCAAGAGCAGGGCCTCCCCAGCAGATCTTATACCATGCCATATTGTTTGCTTTTCCTGTTATGTGTCTTCAAGTCATTTCAACTTCGGGCAACCTTAAGGCAAGGTGATAATGAGGCTTTAATGCAGTAACTGTGGAACCCATACCTGCAGTTTCACTTAGGTGTGCACAGGGGAAATGTTCTCTCTAGAACAGGGGTGTCAAAGTCATTTTCATTGAGGGTCACAGCCTTATGAGGTCCATTAAATCCATGGATGGCAAATCTATGGATACAAAGAGCCAACTATAATTTGTTGACATAGTGGTCAGTACTTTTTAGGTTTTACCCAGTTTAGGCCCATAGCACTTGTGGCTCTGAGTTTAGAGAAAGGATGAAGGCATTTTAAAGTCAGACATCATAGCCAAAGTTGTGTATCTAAATCCAAACCCCACCATCCTGACTAAACTACAGACTTCCAAATGTTCCTGTATCACAACACTCATCAACTCTAGTCATGGTGTCTAATGATGAGTTGGAGCCCAGCACCTTGGAGGTCCACATAAAATGGCATGACAGGCTTTGAGTTTGACACATGTGGAATTAAGTTATCATAAAGTCATGCTGGAGAACCTAGGAAATTCTTAGAGAGGATACCTCCCTAGAAAATTCGGGATCCTTCGGGGCAACTCTATGGCATGCTGGGATCAGAAGTTGGGTAAATTCATGGTATTTGGCTATATTTGTAGTTTCAGACAACTACAGTTTGGTGGAAACCATATCCCCCAAGGCTATGGCTATGGGGAATATTAGTTTTTTTAAAAAGTCAGTCCATAGTGAAGCAGAAGAGAGGAATGGGTAACTTTCCCCTCTTTCAAAGTATTGGACATTTCTCTTGAAACTTTTTTGTGTCCCATCTCTTAACAGGTAAGCTTTGGAGAAAAGACCTCTGAGAACTCCTCACAACATCTCTGCTTTGGTCTTTCCAGTATATTTCCACTCATTTCCTCTGACAGACCTGTGCTCAGCAAGACAAATGGTTTACAGCACCAACAGGTGATTTCTCCTTTTGCCCCTTTGTTATTTGGTGAAGCATTTTGCAGTTCATTATGGGCAGGCATAAGTCTAAAGTTTAGGGTGGGGCCTGGGCAAATGACTTGGAAGGGCTACATTTGGCCCACGGGCCTTAGGTTGGAAATCCCTGCTTTAGCTCTTGCTCTGTCTCTACAAAGAGATCTAAAGCAGTAATTGAGGAAGCCTAGCAGATATTGAAGCTTTACTGCAGAACTGGGCAAAGCGTGGTGTGGGCTGCATGTGACTCCCTTAAAACTCTTTCTGCAATTCCCATGAATAGCCCAAATAAGCAATAGGATTGACTCATAACCCCTCATCTTTTTAGATTAGCATTCAGTTTCTTCATGCTTTGAAAACTGGTTGTTAAAAAGATCAGCAATGGTCTCAGACACCACCAAATACAACACAATGGCCAGTGGCACCACCAGAAGACTTGAGGTGCAGTTGGCCAATCTGAGTCCAAAAGAAAATACCTCTGAAAGACGGCAAGGTGAAAATATTCACAGTGATTACACTAGGACATATGGGCCTTGTAGGTGTAGCTGCTTGCCCATGTTTTCCTTACAGAGTCAGTTTTGGTTGAGGCACCTGTCAACAGTGTGACCTTGGTTCCTCTGTGTCTTCAAAAAGATTTTGAAATACATCAGCCTTGTGCAAAAGAGTCACCTTTACCGTGTCTTGGATAATAGTGCTGAATGCAGTAGCAGACTTGGTCTAAAAATACTGGTTGCCTGGAGACAAAGGGGGGGGGGGGGAAGCATCCAAAAAAGATGCAAGCCTATATAATGTATGCATTGGTATCACATCACCTGAATCAGAATTATTTCTCCAGAATTATTTATTACATTCTTAAATATAAAGAAACACAATATAACATACATTTTACTTTTATACAGTAATAACATTGGCGCTTCTATTATATTTTAAAGCCACTAAAAATCATTAACATAGTTAGCATATTGTCTAAAGTGACCCACTTGCCACAGGGCATGCTGATTCCCTTGCCAATCCGCTATTGACTATATGTGCCCTCCATCAGCCTTACGTAGAATCATAGTTAGAAGAGACCACACAGGTGATCCAGTGCAGTACCCTGCGACACAAGAAAAGCACAATCGAAGAACGCCCAACAGATAGCCACCCAGCTTCTGCATAAAAGAGTGGTTCCCAACCTGTGGGCCAGGGCTCACTGGTGGGCCACGACTAAGTGGCTCTAGATTATTAAATATGGTTTTCTTTGGGTGAGCAGATGGTGACTACTGGATATATGCATATGTTCTGCATCAGAAACTAGACCTGATGTGATCTATCCAATGCAATTTTCTGAATGAGCATCCCAAATAACGAAACTGAATCTAAAGTTGACCAAAAACAGATTCGTAACCCTTTTGGTACTAATGTTGGAGAGTGGACCCTAGTCAAAGTGGTCATAGAATCCTAGAGTTGCAAGAGACCTTGTGGGCCATCCAGTCCAACTCCATTCTGCCAAGAAGCAGGAAAATCGCATTCAAAGCACCCTCGACAGATGACCATCCAGCCTCTGTTTAAAAGCCTTCAAAGAAGGAGCCTCCACCGCACTCTGGGTCAGAGAGTTCCACTGCTGAACAGCTCTCACAGTTAGGAAGTTCTTCCTCATGTTTAGGTGGTCCCTGGTCAAAAAAGGTTGGGAACCATTGTCCTAAAGGCTCAATCCAAGTTGAGTGATTAATACAAAGCTCATCAGGTCTTCTTCATGCCTTCTATCTGGAGCCTCCACTACACTTAAAGGCAGTGAGTTCCACGGTTGAACAGCTCTTACAGTCAGGAAAGTTATCCTAATGTTAAAGGGGAATCTCCTTTCCTGCGATTTGAACCCATTGCTTAGAGTTCTAGTTCCCATGGCAGCAGAAAACAACCCTGCTCTTAATGACATCCTTTCAAGAGAATCCACTCTCATTGCTTGTGTTGGGAGAATATTTATTTCTTTATCATGTCAGAAGCGAATTGAGGGTATGGTTATAATGTATTTACGAAAACACAAACAAAGTTTAAAAACTTAAACAGAGGCTGGGTGGCCATCTGTTGGGGGTGCTCTGAATTGAATTTTCCTGCTTCTTGGCAGGGGGTTGGTCTGGATGGCCCACGAGGCTCTTCCAACTCTATGATTCTATGATTCTAACTTGGCATTATACTAAATGTCCTTTGACCAGTTGCTGGCCACTTGGAGTACCTCTGGTGTTGCTATAAGAAGGTCCTCCATTGTGCATGTGGCAGGCTGCATAGGTGGTCTGTGGTTTGCTCTTCTCCACACTCGCACGTCATGGACTCCACTTTGTGGCCCCATTTCTTAAGGTTGGCTCTGCATCTCGTGGTGCCAAAGCGTAGTCTGTTCAGCATCTTCCAAGTCACCCAGTCTTCTGTGCGTCCAGGAGGGAGTTTCTCATCTGGTTGGGATAGTAACCAGAATGAATTGCCGTGACTATCTAGTTCTACACATGGAAGAGAGGCACCATCTTTTATTGGGGATTCTAAGATTTGCAATGAAAAAAGAGGTGGTGGGAGGTCCAAGCTTTTGTTAGATATAACCTGAATTAATTTAGACATATCCCAGTTTATGTTTCCTATAAGTTCATCTTCTTAAACTAATGACTCTAAGCTGAGACAGAATCAATTACCTGATTTTCAGGGTGTCTAGTTTGAGCCTTGCTTCACCCAGAAAAATGACAATGGCATGTGGCAAAACGTCAATTTGATCAGACTCCCACTTCTCACACTTTGGGTTTTTTTCTGTTTGCAGGAGCTCTTCTCAGAACTCTCTGAACAAAGCAATCTAATTGACTTCATTGAAGTGTATGTGGGGAAGATGCAGCCACAATCTGAGCACAGCACCATTTTGGAATTGCAACCAAGGTAAAGGAACTAATACTGTTACATAATGTGATGCTGGGAGTCCCCAGAAAGCCACTAATTTTAGGGATCTTACTAATTAAAAATAAAGAAAAGAATGCCACGTCATGTCAGGACCATATAAATAAAGGAAATCCTGTCAGCCATGAGCATTTGTATTATTGAAGGCTTTCATGGCTGGAATCACTGGGTTGCTGTGAGTTTTCTGGGCTGTATGGCCATGTTCCAGAAGCATTCTTTCCTGATGTTTCACCCACATCTATGGGAGGCATCCTCAAAGGTTGTGAGATCTCTTGTAAACTAGGCTAGTGAGGTTTATGTATCTGTGGAATAATGTCCAGGGTAGGAGAAAGAACTCTTATATGTTTGAGGCAAGTGTTAATATTGCAACTGGCAAGCTTGATTAGCATTCAATGGCATTGTAGCTCCAAAGCCTGGCTGCTTCCTGCCTGGGGGATCCTTTTTTGGGTGGTGTTAGTTGCCCTGATTGTTTCCTGTCTGGAATTCCCCTGGGTTTTTTTTTTTAGTGTTGTTCTTCATTTGCTTTCCTTTCCAGATTTTTTTCATCCCTTTTTATATAACGTTCATACTAAAACTATACATAATGTCATACTAACCTGTTCATTTGCTGCATAGGAAGCGTAAGAAGCACGTTCTGAAGTTGATTTGTTTGAAATCCCTTATTTAAATCTTATTTAAGAGCAAATATATTTGCAATCAAATTATTGAGTTTGATGAAAGCCTGCATTTTGGTTTGATAAAAGCTTGTTCAGTAAATGTCTTTTTGAAATTATAACAGTTTTAGTGACTTGTATTGGTTTTTCTCCTGATTGTTTTGGCTCTCCTAACAATGGCAAAATCCAGCCATGAGGCACCAGTTTCAAAAGATGAGCCCAGTATTCTAACACCAAAGGATCAAACAGGTGACAAGTGGCAATATTTGCAAGAACAGCTGTTGTGCAAGAAAAGTCCTCTTCACTTTGAGCTTATTGAACCTCAGGTTAGTATGTTAGTATGTTAGGACAACACTCTCAAAGATCAAATATTGGGAACTTGGGACCACTGCATTTTTCTGAGCTCTGCAAAAACTGTAAAGGGATTCAGATAAATATTTCTTGTACACTGAAAGCAAAAAAAATGATGGTGTTATGGAACTGCTCTAGGCATCCCCTTCAAAACTACATGGATATTATCTTGCATTCTGCTGTAGTGTATATGTAGAGATGTACTTGTGTTGGTCCATTCCACGGGAAGGAGAGCTCCTCATGGATCTTGGATATCATTCTTGCCACCCTCTGAGTGGAAAAGTGCTAGACACAAGTATTGGTACATACATGGATATTCATACTGCTGCTGAATGTAAAATTGAAGAGATCTATGTGTCAACATCATTATATTAACAGAAGCAGAAGTTGATTGTCTTTCAGTTTGATTCCATAGTCAACATCTTGCCAAAGTTGACCATAGAATTGTCCTGGAAGATTTAGAGCAGTGGTTCTCAACTTGTGGTTCGTGAGCCACTGGTGGCCCACAAGAACGAAAATATGGTCCGTGGACTCACCATCACCATTCTTCAAAACCACGCGGCAATGAGAGCGACTGGTTTCGTGAAATTCTTTTATAGCGCCAAGGCAACAGGGATGTCAGGAGGGGAGAGACTGACTACCCATGAAAGATTACTACTACCACATCAGTGCTAGATTATTAAATATGATTTTCTGTGGGCAAGCAGATGGCAACTACAGGATGGCACATGTTCTTTATCAGAAACTAGAGCTGATGTGGTCCATCCAATGCAATTTTCTGAATCAGCACCCCAAATAACCAAACCGGCTCTAAAGTTGACCAAAAACTGATTCGTACCCTTTTGATACTAATGTTGGAGAGTGGTCCCTGGTCAAAGTGGTCCCTGGTCAAGTGGTCCTGGTCAAGGTTGGGAACCACTGATTTAGAGAATCCTAGAGAGATTTAGAGAAACCTAGAGTTTAAAAAAGTTGGTTCTTTAATTAGTGAGGGTTTTTTTCACTACCGTAGGGGATCATGCACTCTTCGCCCACATTAAAGTGAAGGGTCTGTAGAATTAAACTGCTAACAATTCACACCTTAAGATAAAAGAATAAAAGCTCTTGAAAAAGGGGGAACTCGAGAGCCACCAAGCTCAGTTCAAAGTTAAGGTATTCATGTGCAAAGCCTTAGCAGCCCATTGTCACAATCCCTTGTGTGTGTGTGTGTGTATACACATACATACATACATACACCTCATGTTTAACAGCATACAGGGGGATTCTGCTATTAGGGCCACAGAATGCTATGTGGTCTTTAATGTCACCATAGAATCACTGAATCATAGTGTTGGAAGAGACCTCATGGACCATCCTGTCCAACCCCCTGCCAAGAAGCAGGAAAATTGCATTCAAAGCGCCCCTGACAGATGGCCATCTAGCCTCTATTTAAAAGGCTCCAAAGAAGGAGCCTCCACCACACTCCGGGGCAGAGTTCCACAGCTGAACAGGTCTCATAGTCAGGAAATTCTTCCTAATGTTCAGCTGGAATCTCCTTTCCTGTAGTTTTAAGCCATTGTTTCGCGTCCTAGTCTCCAGGGCAGCAGAAAACAAGCTTGCTCCCTCCTCCCTATGACTTCCACTCACATATTTATATGTGGCCATCATATCTTCTCTCACCCTCCATTTCTGCAGGCCACATATGTCAGGACTTATTTCTTGGTAGCTTCTTAGTTACAGAGTTCCACTTACTTACAGATGTCATTATTTTCCCATTCTCTTGGAGCTCAACGTATTCATGGTGGTGGTGGTGGTGGGGGCGGGGAGGGGATAAAGGAATACAGCAAGTGTTATATTTGTTGTCTTCTGATAGATGCTATTTGTAGGTTGTTCCTGCTTTCTTCTTGTGCGATTCTAATCACATCAAGAACAATACAGCCAAATGTACACAAATGCCTTCAAGTTGCCAGTGTTTTACAGATACTTCTTTTTCCTCAGTGGAAAAATCTGTTGTTTAGGAAATAGCATGAAAAACTACATATGCATTGCTGTGCTTTTGTTGTTGCTGCTAAATCTGCATATGTACATGGAAGCTACAGCAGATTGTGACTTTCCAGAGAACTGTGCTTAAGCATAGAGGAAGGAGCTTGCAAAATCACCTCTTGAGTTTTCATTTCAGTTCAAAATTTTCACAAGCATGATAAATGCCAGACTTTAGTTGTTAGCATATTTCAAGCCAGCTGCTAGGAATGGAGCCCGCAATTTCCAGACGGTAATCACAATTTCATTGGTTTAAATTGTATCTGCTGCTGGGCTTTGGGTGTTTTCTTGTGCTGAAAGAACATTATGTATCAACATGAGTTTAATCTGGAGCATTTGTCTCAATGCATTTTGCTTTTCCAAATGTTAGATCTCTACCAAAATAAATATTCTGCCCAAGGGTGCCACTTCAAGTGTGAGAACGCCAACCGTTGAGGAGCTGAAAAGGTACACCGCAGAACTTGGCAGCCTAAGCCAAATTCAGGTACTGTGCTCATCATTTCCACCTCAATTACATAAATGACCAACATGACTGGTGGACAAGATCCAACATCAGCAGGGTGAAATATCTGTTTCCGCTTCCCTACACTTACACATGTATATTCATGTAACACAGGGAATTGAGACATCAGAGCCTAAAGTTGGAAGGAGCCACATGAATCTTCTAGTCCAGGCATGGGCAAACTTTGGCCCTCCAGGTATTTTGGACTCCAACTCCCACAATTCCTAACAGCCGGTAGGAATTGTGGGAGTTGAAGTCCAAAACACTTGGAGGGCCAAAGTTTGCCAGTGTGTACTCTAGTCCATCTCTTGCTTTTACAGGTATACCTAGCTAAAGCAAGATGTCCATCAAACCTCTGGAGATTTCTAAACAGATGTTTGATAGCTATCTTTCTTGTAGATAGCTATCAAACATCTGTTTAGAAATCTCAAGAGAAGGAAAAGTTTCTACAATCTGTTCCACTGTTGAACGGTTGCTGCTTTCTGGAAGTGCTTCTAGAAGTGGAATAATTTTTCCTCATATTTTCAATTCATTGGTTCATGTTCTCATGTCTGGGACTACAGAAAACAAACTTGCTTCATCTTCTGAGATTTAATGTCACTCACCATGTTGTGAAATATGATGTATGGTTTGAAAGGAATGAATGAATGAGAGCTAATGACTTTGTAGACACCATTCTGAAATATTGAGACCTGGAAAACAACTACACTCAGGAACTGTAATTAAAAGTTGCTGAACTGCTGAGATTGATGACCACTGACAATGATTAACTATTGAACTTTTGGGGAATAACAAGGTGTTTACATTAGTCAAAGACAACGGCTCTTTAAGTTAAGGAAATGTTTACAAGGTTCCTTACTTAAGCTGGAAGTCAACATAAGCCTTGAATTCACCAATTAAGAAGAGTCAACATCTGTCCAGGAAGAGATGAAGCCAGGATGTTTCAGGATGGAAAAACATCTATCATTCATTTACAACTTTGGAACAACATCAGCAGAAATATTCCTATACAAGACTCAATCTAATAATTCTCAAAGTGTGACAGACAGCTGTGCTGTTCACCTGCCATGCTCTATGGAAAGAGATGGTGTATGCATTTGGGAGTGGTATATCTGCAGTGGAAAGCAGGAGCCTGGTCACTTGCTCCTTTTCTCAAGGGAAGAGAAAGGAGTGTGATTTTGAAACATGTTCTTAGGAAAAGAGGGTGCATTTTGAAGTTTGGAAGTTTTGGAACTGTGTGTTGGCAGATTTGGGAGAAAGCAGCCTGGCCTAAGAGAAGTTCTCCTCCAGGAGACAGTGGGAGAAATGGTGATGTATGCATGAGGATGACTGAATGTTTACATATGTATGAATGCTGAGTAAAAATGTAATCCCCCTTTGTTTGTTAACCAATGTAACTGTTTGTGAATCCAATGTTGTTACATAGAATCCGTATGTCTGTATGTCCAATGTCATTCTTTGTGTAAAAATGTTGTTCTGTAAAAGTTCTGATACCCTTTCTCTTACTGGAAAATTGCAATAAAAAGAATTTATATTTTAAAGTTATTGAAAAGTTATTCTTCTTCTTCAGGGTACATATATTCATCTCCCTGAGTCATTTCTCATAGGGCTTGTTTTCTAAAGTGCTCAGTGTTTTGAAAAATACGTCCCGCATGTTTCTTCACTGTAAAGATTCAGCAGGGGAGTTCAACAGAGGGAATTGCAGAAGGTACACTTTCCAGGCGGAAACATTCTGTCCACACGGAAACTTGCATCCAACTAAATGTCTTTCTTTCATACAACTGTGATAATGTCCCATTTTTCAGAAAGACCTCTCCCAGACCTAATTGGGGCAGGTGGACAGAAATTCTCCCTGATTTAGTCCATGACTCTGGATGCCAAGAAGAGAGGTTGATATGATTAATAACAATAACAATAACAATAATAATAACTTTGTTTTAATATCCCGCCACCATCTCTCCAAGGGGACTCAGGGTGGCTTACAAGGGGACAAGCCCAAGTTACAAATAAAAGAAACACGTTAAAATAAATCAAATAAAAGGATAAGACAATCACAAACCATCATCATAAAACAACAAGGCTAAGAATAACTCAAAGCTGGGTTCAGGCTCAATAAGTGCAATGATTTCAAAATGGAGCCAATGGAAAGTGCAGAATTCAAATGAACAGGGGCTAAGGAATACCCATAGAAAAAAGTGTTGAGGTAACCGATTGGAGAGCCGAAATAAAGTGTAGGGCTTAGAATCTTACCTATTCTGGGAACATTCAAATGTGGCTAATCATGTTCCTGCCATAGGGAGAGTAACTGTTCTGTGCAATGCTGGGCCACTGGAATTCTTAAATTTGCAGCTGGTACATATGGTGTTTCCACATATGTGTCAAGCTCTTCCAAAATATGTGTTAAGATTTCTTGTCTCCTTGTCTTCCAGGAAAATGTAGCAGGAGATGTTTCGCTCAGCTTGGACCAAAAACTCTTTGAGCTGCTCCTGGCCATCAGCCGCTGCCTGAATAACATGGAGCAGATGTTAAGCACCTGTGCACTCACCAGCGAAGAAGCTCCCATGCAACAGATACTCTATGAGGTAGGAGCACATGGGAGTGTTTCTGCATTCTTGGATCTCAGAACCACAGAATTGTTGTTAACTGCTCTCATGTCAGCTTTGGTTGATGGCAACCCCATGACTGAGAGTCCACCAATTCACCCTGTCCTCAATGATCCAGTTCAGATCTTGCCAACCCAGGGTTGTGGTTTCCTTGGTTGAGGATGCATCTACACTGTTGAATTAATGCAGTTTGACACCACTTTAATTGCCATAGCCCAAGGCTGTGGAATCACTATGAACCTTAGTTTCAAGTATCCATGGCAGGGTCTTGGAACGTGTCCCCTATGGATACAAATACCATGCTGTGCATAATGTTAAAAAGTTTTTCATACGTCACTGTTCTGGCTTGTAAGAGGCGCATTAGATGAAATTATTTTCCCCAAGTGAATCAAACAGTTATTACCTCCTTATTTCCAAGACAGTTTTAATTTAAACTTCAATGAAATTATATCTATGTATGAATGTTGATAGAGAGGGAGCCACAATTCCCCAAACTAAAACTGTCTGAAGCTTGAAATGAATTCCAGGAATTGTGTTTCCAATTATTGCTGCAGTGCATTTCCTTTGTAACATCCAGACTAATTATTGCATCAGGACAAAGGCCTTACAGTGTACAATATGAGTTCTATATTTGCACTCCATTAAACTCTCAAAAGGGCAGAATGGATGCTAGAACTTGGCTGATGTTCAGGGACACATTGTATTCAAATAAGAATGATCTGGTTCCTTTGATAGTTAACCTTTTGCACAAATAAAGGAGCATACACAAAATACTAAGGTGTTGAATATTGTATTGTCAAAGGCTTTCATGGCCGGAATCACTGGGTTGTTGTAGGTTTTTTGGGGCTGTATGGCCATGGTCTAGAGGCATTCTCTCCCGATGTTTCGCCTGGATCTATGGCAAGCATCCTCAGAGGTAGTGAGGTCTGTGTTGAATATTCTTCCTCCAAAAGAACAAGTGAACAAGTCCAGAAGGAAATATTGCTGTTTACCCTCATTTTCAGCTGGTTTGAAAATATTCCAGTCTTTTTCTCTTCCTGCTACTTTCCTTAGTTTTCTCCAGTTTCCTACAATTGCCACAAACTGAGTTCAAGGTGCAAAAGTAGTTTGCACACAATAAAATCAATGGGCAGGAGAAAGAGAATAGGATGCATATTCTTCCTCCTTAATAACATATGTCATCACAGCCACACTCTGATGTCACTTGGCTTCAATGTCCCAGTTTTCCTTTGTGAAATGTTTGCTTTCTCCTGACCAGATTGAATCTTAATGGTTCATCATCTACCTTTTACAAAATCATATTTACTTGCTTCTTTTGTCTTATCTCTTCCCAGACTCTTTCTGCAGAACTACAAAAGCTTCATGCAGATATTGGAGATAAAAAGGAAGATCTTTTGAAGTCGATCACTTCCGCTGGTGGCAACCCTGAGAGATTCTCTCAGTGTTTTAGCAACTTGCAGGCATGGCTACAACAGACAGAAGCAGCCACTGCTTCTAGGAGCAAATGTATGAAAACCGACCTGGACCGTTACAGTTTTTATCAGGTACCTCCTGGTTGACTTTTCTTGTTGTTTTTCTTGTATCCTTTAAAGTCACTTCTCACTCTTTGTCTTTCTAAATTTCCCACCTGACATCACATTTGTTGAGCAAGGGGCTTAATAACAAAAGACCCTACTCATAAATGTACAGCAGAGCAACTTATCAGCAGTAGCGTGACCCAACACCAGTATCCCAAAGTGGTAAAATTCTCGCATTAAAATCTCCACACAATAGGAGCTTTGTGGAGGGGTATTGGCATTCCAAACAGGTGAGGGTTTCACATAGTCTAATCCAGATATTATTGGGGCCTCCAGTTTTGGATGATCTAGGTCAGAGGTTCTCAACCTTCTTAATGCCGCGACCCCTTAATACAGTTCCTCATGTTGTGGTGACCCCCAACCATAACCCTAACATTATGAATCACCATGTAAATAATGATCTGCAGGATGTATTTTCATTCACTGGAGCAAATTTGGCACAAATACCCGGTATGCCCAAATTTGAATACTGGTGGGGTTGGCGGGGGGATTGATTTTGCCATTTGGGAGTTGTAGTTGCTGGGATTTATAGTTAACCTGTAAACAAAGAGCATTCTGAACCCCACCAACAATGGAATTGAACCAAAGTTGGCACACAGAACTCCCATGACCAACAGAAAATACTGGAAGCATTGACCTTGAGTTTGGGAGTTGAAGTTCGCCTATATCCAGAGAGCACTCTAGACTCCAACAATGATGGATCTGGACCAAACTTGGCACGGATACTCCATATGCCCAAATGTGAACACTTGTGGGGTTTTGGGAAAATAGACCTTGAGATTTGGGAGTTGTACTTGCTGGGATTTATAGTTCACCTACAATCAAGGAGCGTTCTGAACCCCAACAATGATAGAATTGGGCCAAACTTCCCACACAGAGACCTCCATGACCAACAGAAAATACTGTGTTTTCTGATGGTCTTTGGTGACCCCTCTGACACCCCTTCGTGACCCCTCCAGGGGTCCCGGCCCCCAGGTTGAGAAACACTGATCTAGGTGGAAAACAGACATTTATACAGATTACATAACCAAAAACATGCTCTTAATGTATATATTGTGGGAGGGAACTACTCAAAGGTTGGATGTCCACCAAAACTGCAAAATCTGCATAATCAAACTTATTTGTCCATCCCATTATATTCCAGGATAGCAGGTGTAATCGTCACGCTGGTGTCGATAGGTCTGAGTCATTACCGATATCCAGAAATTCAGTCTGAGAAGAGGCTTTTTGGTTGGGTGGCAATTTGTGTATTGGAGGTATCTGGTTTTCTTTCCTAGGCTTCAAGGGGTGCATTGGACTTATAGTTGCGATGTTGTCCTCATTCATCACAAGTAGTGTGTCAACAGAGCCCCCAGCCAAATCCCTCATAGCTTGTGGTGGCTAAGCAGAGTGAACTAAGTCCATTAATGGTTCAGCCAGCTCCCTGATAGTAAACATCGTGTTCTTAAGGTGGTCCAATCTACAAGCAATGCCTTGTTGTTCATTGCAGGTTGGCCTACTCATGCCCAAAGACTGCTTCCCAGATGCACAGGGAAACACACAATAGCAGTGTTTAAACACATTGTTTTATAGTTTTGAGTTAATTTATGTTTCCATGGGGACAATTCCGTCCTTGTTTTCAATAAGGTCCCAAGCCAAAAGCAAATTATGATTGTAAAACTTGGTGTCATTTCTATTTTCCGTTAGCAAAGAGCAAGTGATTGCAAATGTAACTGTATTTTTAAAGGATGCTTTCTCTCCTCCCATCCTGCTTTCTTTCTGGATGTAAAGATGTGCTCAGAGAATGATTCTAATTAAGCAGTACAGCCAAATTGCAGTTTAATTACCCCATCATTCTGTGCAATGTACCTTTAGGTTCACTTTGTATTTATTTCCTTGTCTTTGTCACAGAACGAAATCAGGGAATTGTATGATGAGTTGATTAAGAAGAAATCCATGATGCAACAGTCCTTTGGTGCAACGAGTAGCCATGACATTTCCACGATGCTCCAGGTAATTAGTGGAAATATAAAGATAAAGCCCAATCAGCCATCCAGCGCTGAGCAATTTTACCTAATTTCCTTTCTTCTTTTGGGGTGCTGTTGTTCTTCCAAAATCATAGCAATAATTTTGTGATTCCCCCCAACCCTGTGAGCTTATTGGCACTGTGATAAGCACAATTCCTAAAATATTCTGCGTTCAAGTCAAATGCAGAAGGGCATAGAATCAGAGTATTTGTTGCCCTTTTGGACCACACCTCAAAAGAATGGTTCCCGATCTTTTGTTGACCAGGGACCACTTGAACAGGGACACTTTGACCAGGGACCACTCTCCAACTTAAGTATCAAAAGGGTTATGAATCAGTTTTTGGTCAACTTTAGATTCGGTTTGGTTATTTGGGGTGATTATTCAGAAAATTGCATTGGATAGACCACAGAACATATGCCATCCAGTAGTCACCATCTGCTCACCTGCAGAAAACCATATTTAATAATCTAGAGCCGATGTGGTAGTAGTAATCTTTTGTGGTTAGTCACCCTCTCCTCTATAAGAGGGCTTTGCAAGACGAGTTGCTCTCGTTGCCATTTGGTTTCAAAGCATTGGTGTAGTAATGGTGAGGCTGTGGACCATATTTTCATTCTTGCAGATCACTGGAGGTCCACGGACCACAGGTTGGGAACTAAGGTTGGGATCTGGGGTCTAAAGCATCTAAAATATAATTTTAAAACTTTTTAAAGCATTCTAAAAAAACAGTCCTAAAACATAGTTTAATGCTCTCAAAGTAGAGCAAATCCAAGCTTCAAAGGTCATGTAAGGTAAAGGTAAAGGTTTTCCCCTGACATTAAGTCCAGTGTGTCTGGGGTGTGTTGCTCATCTCCATTTCTAAGCCGAAGAGCCAGCGTTGTCCCTAGACCCCTCCAAGGTCATGTGTCCAGCATGACTGCATAGAGCGCCGTTACCTTCCCGCTGGAGCGGTACCTATTGATCTACTCACATTTGCATGTTTTTGAACTGCTAGGTTGGCAGAAGCTGGGGCTAACAGCGGAAGCTTACGCTGCCCCCCAGATTCGAACCTTTCGGTCAACAAGTTTAGCAATGTAGAACAGTAATATTTTAGCTGCCTGTTTGAAACTCAAAAGAGACAAATCCAGCCTAACTTCTTTGGTCAGAGAGTATCACATCAGAGTGTTCCTATAGAGAGTTGCTATGTGTACATGCCAACCTAACTTCTTGAGTTCTTGGGACACTCTACAGGTCCTCCTTTGAGAAGGCATAAAAATATGAGGGCGTGAACAAAGGCAATGGCTTCATGGCACACTATGGACCTCATCACACTAGAGAATGAATCCACTTTAAATCTGGTTTCTGCTTCCTGCAGAATTCTGGGGTTTGTAGTTTAGTGAGGCTGTTAAAGGCTACTCCCTAAACCACAAAGCCCAGAATTCTGCAGGAGGCAACAATCGGATTTAAAGTGGATTCATTCTCTAGTGTGATGAGATCCTATGTATATTAATAACAAGAGTCAGGTTCAGTATATTTGTTGTCCTGGCCACAGGCCATGACAAAGAGCTTTAAAATATGCAGAACGTTCAAGTTAAGAAGTAGAAAAGTTGGTAAACAAGAGTCTTCACTACGTACATACAACAAAAAAGAATCTTTGCAGAGTTTTGAACCCTGGGAAACTGACTTTTGATAAGTGGATTTGTTGTTTTCGCCTATCGATGCTAACCTGACCTGCCATTGTAAATATCTGAAAGACCTGTTTCATCTTGCCCAAGGCAAGATTTTGTCCCACAACTGTATAAATATGCTTTATACTGGAGGCCTTAATATCAGCCTGTACTGTATCCGAAGAAGTAGGTTTATATCCATAGATGCTCATGCAGAAGTAAGAACCAATGACTGCTGTTTAAAAGATGTTGCCACATTTCTTTTTGGTATGTTGTAGGTTTTACGGTCTATATGGTCATGTTCTGGAAGCATTCTCTCCTGACGTTTCGCCTGCATCTAGGCATCCTCAGAAGTTGTGAAATCTATTGGAAACTAGGAAAATTGGATTTATATATTCTAGAACATGGCCATATAGCCCAAAAAACCTACAACAACCTAGTGATTCCGGCTATGAAAGCCTTCGATAATATATCCCCCCCCCCCCCCATTCCCCTTTATTCCTCCATTTTCTGTTACAGAAAATAAGACCCCTTCCTCTCTGAAAATGTCAGGCAGGCTCCTATGGTGGTAGGAGGTAGCTTTCAGATGTTCTAATTTCAGATGTCCTAATGTTCTTATTATGGCTGATTTGTCTCTGGCAGAACTGATAAGATGTTCCAATAAGCAGTGGGAATCAGGATCTGGGAAACTGCAAGATCCTGCCTACTTCACAGATTGTCAAAAATCTTGCCTCCTGTAGTTGCCTTAGAAATATCACAGCCTCCTAGTAATACCTTGCCTTGCTTTGATCATTTCATTGTTTTGTTTAGATCACAAACAACTATGAGTTGGAACTGCAGAACTTTGAAACTCGGACAGCTAAACTAAGAGATCATGGAGAAAAACTTCCTTTGCCTGTTGCCCTAGTCCATGAAGTAGATAAATTAGAGGTAAAGATGCCGAAGGATTATTATGCCTTTAGAACCATCCATTGTTGACAAACTGAATTATATTAAATAAAACAAGCTGGGTTTTAGCATAAAAGAGTCCAAGGTTTAGAAAATGTACTGCTTGACCATGTTGTTGTTCATTCGTTCAGTCGTCTCTGACTCTTCGTGACCTTGACCATACTGATGAGTTTATCATACAGTATAAGACAGGAAATTATAATCATTTAAGGATATATTTGGGACTTTTGTCATGGAGTTGTCATCTTCTGTTGGTTTCTGTGGGTTGGTGGTGGGAGGGGGGGAAGAGAACATTGGAAGACATTTTTACAAAAGGAGATCAGTAACAAACTATTTGTGTTAGTAAAAGAAACTTCCAGCTATCTCCAACCTGGACAGAAATGAGAGAAGAGCAATGGGATGTGTTATGTTCCCACCAAAGGCACTATTGTCCTATTGAAATGTGATTTGCCTGTAATGAACTCCTTCTCAACCTCAGTTTTGTAAAGGAGGCTGGAGCTTGTTGCAAGCCAAACAGAGGGAGCTAACATCTCCATTTTTAAATGAGATATAATATGAAGCTTTGTAGCTACCACACCACCAATAATAAATCATCTTCCAACCTTCTGGTGCTCTGGATCAGGAAAGGTGGAATTTGGAATTAGATGCTTGTACCTGAAGATGTTCAGAGTAGCTTCATTAAGCTGTGGCACCCATGTGGTCACTGTAATTAGTTGATTTTTCCTTGGAAAAGGTTATTGTGGCATGTGGATGTCTGTAGGTACTCAGTGCCTTGAGCCAGTGGCTTTCATAGTGCCATACTCTCAGTGATACTTCCCTCCTGAAAGTCTAGAGAGAGTCTGGTTGAAGTGGAGATAAGAGAAACAATAACAGTGTTTAGCATAGTCAGCAAAGTTATCATTGGTCTATGACAGTGGTTCTCAACCTGTGGGTCCCCAGGTGTTTTGGCCTACAACTCCCAGAAATCCCAGCCAGTTTACCAGCTGTTAGGATTTCTGGGAGTTGAAGGCCAAAACATCTGGGGACCCACAGGTTGAGAACCACTGGTCTATGATAACATATCATTAAATACATTGGAATAAACTTTGATTGGACTGCCAAAAAGACAAAATATATAGGTTTTAGAATGGATGGACACATGTCCCCGAGTCTCCAAAACGGAGAAGGATGGAAAACTTGGGTTTGTTTGAGGATTACTGAATCTTAGAGTGGCCATAAGTCAAAATCAGCATGTTGGCCCATAACACAGAGAAGCACTTGATTGCTGATTTGTTGTTAAATGCTGTTGTTGACTTATGGAAAATCTTATGAATGAGAGATCTCCAAATCATCTTATCAAGAGCCATTCTCAGTTCTTGAAACTCAGAGTTGTGGCTTACTTGATTTGAGCTGTGCCCATACCTTGGGAAGTCTGACTTGGCCACAGTGGTCCACGCTCTGGTTACATCCCGTATAGACTACTTCAACATGCTCTATGTGGGGTTGCCTTTGAAGACTGTTCAGAAGCTTCAAATGGTCCAGCAGGCAGCAGCCAGGCTGCTAACTGGAGCAGCGCTCAGGGAGCACACAACTCCTCTGTTACACCAGCTTCACTGGCTGACAGTTTGCTACTGGGCACAATTCAAAGTGCTGACTTTAGCCTATAAAGTCCACTGGCTGCCGATCCAGTTCCGAGCACAATTCAAAGTGCTGGTTTTGACCTTTAAAACCCTCTACGGCTCCGGCCCAGTGTACTTGTCCGAACGTATCTCCTCCTATGTCCCACCACGGAGTTTAAGATCTTCTGGGGAGGCCCTGCTCTCGGCCCCACCTTTATCACAAGTGAGGCTGGTGGGGACGAGAGACAGGGCCTTCTCAGTGGTGGCCCCTCGCCTGTGGAATTCACTCCCCGGGGAAATTAGGTTGTCAACATCCCTCCTCTCCTTCAGGAGAAAGCTGAAGACATGGATATGGGACCAGGCATTTGGGTAGTCTGGCAGGGTAACATGGTAATGATGACTAGAGCTGGAAATGACTATGGCAATGCTAAACGGATTGACGGATTTTAGAACACGATGAACGCAAGTTTTTAGAGTGGTTTTAGTTGATATTGTATTGTGTTATGTTGTACTGTATTAATTGTCTGTTTTTAATCTATTGTGTTTTACTATTGTATTTTATTGTAATTGTGGGCATCGAATTGTGCCGGATGTAAGCCGCCTTGAGTCCCCCCTAGGGGGTGAGAAAGGCGGGGTATAAATGACCGAAATAAATAAATAAATAAATATCTCTCCTTATGAACCATCTAGGAAATTAATATCATCTGGGGAGGCCCTGCTTTCGATCCTGCCTTCTTTGCAGGTGCACCTGGTGGGGATGAGAGACAGGGCCTTCTCAGTGGTGGCCCCTCGGCTGTGGAACTCCCTCCCTAGGGCCCCCTCCCTCCTGACTTTCTGAAAAAAATGTCAAAACCTGGCTCTTTGAACAAACCTTTGGAAATGCAGTATAATAAACAAATTTAGAGCTATGAAAAAGTGAAACATGGAACAGCTTAGACAATGCTACTGGAAAATGAGTTCAACAAGAAGATATTGGTTATTATATTTTAATTGTTTTTGTATGGATTTTTATAATGTTGTTTTAAATGTTTTAATTGTATTTTTATGACTGTGTTGGCATCTAATTGCTGCCAATTTGTAAGCTGCCATTAGTTGCCTCCGGGCTGAGAAAGGTGGGATAGAAATATCATAAATAAATAAATAATAAATATTCATCTGGAATGCACTCTTCCTCTTCTCCTACTGTCTTCTTCTAAACAGTATTGCATTAACATTTCATAACTTGTTTTATTTCCAGGAAGTATTGGATGACCTCTGGAAGATCTTGAGAGCCAAACAGAGGGAGCTAACATCACCGTTGATTAGTGAGCAGCAGTATGAAGCTTTGTTACAGGGACTAACAGAGCTCACAAATCTTGGCCGAGAGAAAGTTATTCAGATATCCAGCCTGAAAGCTACCAGCCAGACTAATTTACAGTTTCACCTAAAAAATCATAAGGTAACAACTTTTTGCACAAAGAACTTGTAAAAGTGTGAACCATCTCCACTTTAAGGTGGCATTGGTGGATGTCTTTCTTTCACAGCCTTCTAAATAACAAAGAAATTTAAAGTTTGAAAAAATGATTGTTGGATTAAAGCTTAGAACTTGAAAATTCTGGGACCTCTGATCCAAAAAAAGCAACTTTTCTTAGTTTTCAGGCCATATCTTGAAAGTGATCACAATGCACAGTTAAAGATGTAAAGGTTTCTCATTCTTAGCTATTGCACCTACACAACTAATTGACTTTTATTTTCACATGAGCTTTCATGAATACACACCCACTTCTTCATATGCCCTACCAAGAGAAAATAAAAAAATAGTGCCACCATCTTTCTTTTGTTTTTCCACCCCTCCTTCCTCCTTTTTATGCACTTTTGCACTACTCTTTTAATGCTTCGCTTTTGTACCTATGAAGCAGTATTTGATCTCATGGCAAGTAAATGCTTCATAGGAGCTCGGTTCTGGACCTTGTTGTGACCTATTTTGTGAGAAGTCATGTGTCTTTAGATCACGTCAGAAGAGTCCAAAGGTCAAATGAGACACTAACATATCCCATTGTGGTTTATTCCAAGTTGGTCCAAGAACATACAAATTATTGAGTTGCTGTGAGTTTTCCGGGCCATGTGGCCATGTTCCAGAAGCATTCTCTCCAGACAATTTTCCCACATCTATGGCAGGTATCCTCAGAGCTTGTGAGGTCTGTTGGAAACTAGACAAGTAGGGTTTATCTATCTGTGGAGTGTCCAAGGAGGGAGAAAGAACTCTTGTCAGTTTGAGGCAAGTGTGGATGTTGCAATTGGCCACCTTGATTAGCATGTAATCGCCTTTCAACTTCAAAGCTTGGTTGGTTGCTGCCTTGGGGGTTCTTTTTTGGGAGGTAAATCAGGACAGTAAATAAAGAGCAGCACTCAACAAACAGGGGAATTCCAGACAAGAATCAATTGTTGATCCCAACAAAGGATCACCCCCAGACAGCAACCAGCCAGGCTTTGAAGCTGCAAGGTCATTACATGCTAAACAAGGTGGCCAATCACAACATTCACACTTGCCTCAAGCAGCCAAGACTTCTCTCTCCCACCCTGGACATTCCACAGATATATAAAACTCACTTGCCTAGTTTCCAACAGACCCCGCAACCTCTGAAGATGCCTGCCATAGATGTAGGTGAAACGTTAGGAGAGAATGCTTCTGGATCATGGCCATACAGCCCAGAAAACTCACAGCAGCCCAGTGATTTCAGCCATGAAAGCCTTCAACAACATACAAATTCTTGCTAAATAACTCTGGTTTTTTGTCACCTTCTGCCCACTTGTTCCAATCTTAAATAGTCTGGGACAACAGAAATCTGTTTGGCCAGTTAAAGTACAGCAACAAATCCAGCAACTTTATGACACATTTCCCCCATTTGAAGGAGCCCTGCATTGCATAAAACTTTTCAGCAACAGGGCAAGGTTATCCCAGTAGCTGGATGAGAGATTGATTGGTAACCCTTAGTATGTGTCACTTTATGTTCTTTGGAAGCAAATCAAGCTGTAAATGATACAGAGAATTAGAGATACAGATGAAGTCCACCAAGCAAATAAGGATGTGATTAGTACGGTGATTCATTTGTTTCATGTTTACTTGTCACTAGGAGCTTTTCACATACTTCCCTCACAAATAGAGAAAAGATATAAAGTGGGGTGGACTCCATTAAGGATAATCATAAAATCCACCCACTGCTATAATTACTTCGCCAGAAATAACATGCAGCCCTCCTAATGGAGTGTAATGTGTACAAACTGCACAGGAGAAAGATTGCATAAACATGAAATGATTCCTTAGTTAAATGTTTTGAATGTTAAGTTAAAAGAAGCAGTTAGTCACTTCTGTTTTTCTCAGACAAAAATGGCTTTAATTTTGTCTCTTCAAAGTAGAAAAATGGCTACATCTCAGCAGAATATGGGAAACATGTTATGTATGGAAATGCTCTTCCTATAAGTCAAGAAGAAAATAATATCTTGCTCTGTTGGTCAGAGATACAAAGCTAAGGGCTCATACTACAAAGCAGTAATTCTTCAGCTTTGATGGTGGCATGCTTATTAGATTATATATGTGTTCATATAATTCCTCCATATTCACTGAGGTTAGAAATACACAAAAGTGAAAATATGCAAATTTTTAAAAATTGCGATTTTTCTTTTTTGCCTTTGAACATCTGTCTATGAATTGCTAGGTCTTCTAGCATGGCTCTTCGATCAACTTTGTTTCACTCCAGGCCAGGAAACACCTCTGTACTTAACCACCACACTCCAGTCCAAGTTAAATCAGCAAATCAGTTTATTAAAGATATATAAAAAGCACTGTAGCAAAAATAGTGAAAACTTCCGTCTATATGTATAAAATAGTCCACAAGGTTCAGGGTACAAGAGTAATACAAAATCCCAAAGCAACAGGACATCCAGCACAGGAATACAAGAAAAAAGTACAAGGCAGCATAGAATCCAATAGAAATCACCAGAAACAATCCTTCAGACTTGGAAACATGAAACAGGAGCAAAGACATGGAACTACAATTCCTTAAGAAAGCTTGACTTGGATTTGGCAAGAACTGTTGCCTCAATTACCAACGTTGACCAGACTGGCTGGAAAATCCCCCTGGCCTCTCTAATATACTCATGAAATCATGTCTTCTCCCATGACTTCTTGATACGGGCCTCTTCTCTATCAAGTGCTATGACCTTCGGAAATTCTGTTGAGCAGCACGAAGTTTATGAAAACTGAGTCTCCTACCAATCAGCTCATTATCTTACAACTAATTATTCTCTCTACCTGGGATTTCAGCCTCTGAACTAATTTCCCTAAAGAACAATTCTTCTGCACCATCATGGCATCTCTCTGGAATGTGACCTTCACTAACCGTTGAAGACACAGATTGGTCTTTTTCAGGACTTAAAATCTCATGTTGGCTCGCAAGCCCAGAGTTCCCATGGTCCACATTCCAATTTACATTGATATTGGCCACAACCATGGGCTGAACTACTACAACTTTCACTGGAAGCTAACCATATAATTTCATTGAAAAGCCTAGATATTCCTAGAAAATTATTTTTTTTAGAAATTATTATTTCTAGAAGTTAGCCTTAGAGTCACACTGGAGGACCTAGATCACAGCTTTCCAAACTGTGTCACAACACACCAGTGTGTCAACTGCAGTGTGTAAGTGTGTTGTGTGAATGAGAAATAACATAAATCTTGGAAACGTATGTTATTATCTTACAAACCATATTTTTTAAAAAATTAATCAAAGATTTTCAGGAGATATTATTACAATTTATGTATGTGTCTGTATCTCATATAAGGAGTCGATTTAACCTCCTGTTTGCTAGTACAACTGAATGACTGTGTTGCAAAATGATGCATGCTTAAAGATGTGTCACCATGAAATGTTTGGAAAACTCTGACTCAAATATTTCTTGAGATAACATTTTTCACCAAATCCTGAAGTCAAAACTGCAAAAGTGGAGGAACAACAAGCTATTTCCACAGTGATTGCTACCTGGTTTCAGCAAACCAAGTTTTCTCCTGTCAAAATTGGGAAATAGCTCACTTTGTTCCAAGACAAACAGCAAGTTGAATGAGACGTTGTTTGTGATTTGCAGGGCCCCCAATTCCCTTCTCCCAGTAGGGGTCCCAAAGCAGGTTATGGTATAAGTTAAAAGAAAGTAGCTAAAAGCATTGAACAACCAATCCAATTACAACAATAATTTTAAGACATTAAAGTAATACAATTAAAAACACAGATTACCTATCACACAAGTGCTGCCACAATCCTTTGAAAACTGATTAAATAAGGAGATTTTTACCTGCCAGCAAGAAGACAGCAGAGTGGAGGTCAACCAAGCCTCCCTCGAGAAGGATTCTTCATCCATTGGAGTAGACATTGATAAAGCTTTTTTCATGCCTACTTACTAAATGCCCCATGCATAAGTCAACCTAGGGTTTTTTGGCATAACAATTTCCCAGTTTGTAAGCAAGTCTATACAGTAATTAACAACAACTATCTCACTACCTCTGAGGATGCTTGCCATAGATGCAGGCGAAACGTCAGGAGAGAATGCCTCTAGACCATGGCCATACAGTCTGAAAAAATAAAAACAACAACCCAACAACAACTATGCTTGCTTACTATGCATTTCCATAATATGTTGGGCATTTTTGCCATTATAAAAAAATACACACTTTTATTTTTAAGCGAAAACTTCAAATAAAGAAAGTAAATGTGATTACTGTCAAAGTAAAAGCTCCCACCAGGCATATATATAGCAAAAGAAGTACTTTAATTTCAGTAATCCACCTATAAGGAAATTAACTGTGATGGGTTTTGTTTTGTTTTTTTAAATGAGCTTAATGATCTATACTTAATGTAACTTTTTTCTTTCTGGATGCAGAGCTTTTTCTGTAATCTTAAGACTCACATGCTACGTGTGCAGATGTGTTCTCAAAAAGTGGCACCTTCAGTATTACAAGAGAGAGAGAAATCCTGGAAGGAGATGGAAAAGAATATCAATTCTTTGGAACAGCAAGCGATCCAACAAGGAACTTGTCTGGAAATGCTCTTACAGGTAAAGAAATAGGTCTGTTACCTTGGAGAAAAGAAATCTGAAGGGGAAGACAATAGCCATGTTTGAATATTTGAAAGGATGTCAAATAGAGAAAGAGGCAATTTTGTTTTCTGCAGCTCCAGAGACCAGGACACAAAGCAATTCATTCGAATTGCAGGGGAAAAAAAGATTCCACTTAAACGTTAGGAAGAACTTCCTGACAGTAAGGGCTGTTCGGCACTGGAATATGTTGCCTTGGAATGTGATGGAATCTCCTTCTCCAGAGGTTTTTGAGCAGAAGCTGGATGGCCATCTGTCAGGAGTGCTCTGATTATGTGTTCCTTCCTGTCAGAATGGGGTTGGGCTGTATTTATTTATTTATTGCATTATATACCGCTTTTCTCACACCTGGGGGTCTCAAACTGGTTCACAATATAATCAAAGGCAAAATTGAATGCCTTACATGAATAAACATCACATCTCAAATCAAGAACAAATGACAATACATTAAAACCATTAAAACTATAAAACATAGCAACAGTCACAAACACAACCTAAAACATGGAGGCCTTGCATCAATCCCGATGTCTTAACTACTTCCATATTTCCTTATTTCTGTTATTCATCATATGCCTGCTTGAATAACAATCTTAAGTTGTTTCCTAAACTTTAGGAGGGAAAGGGAGAATCTAATATCACTTGAATAACAGTCTTGTTTCCTAAACTTTAGGAGGGAAAGGGAGAATCTAATATCACTGGGGGTTCCACAGCCAAGGAGCCACCACTGAGAAGGCCCTGTCTTTTATCTCCACCAATCGCACTGGTGAAGGCACCAGGACTGAGAGCAGGACCTTCCCGGAAAATCTTAGTGCTCCATTTTGGAGGAGGAGAGAAGAAAAATGCATATATTTCCATCCAGAGTGCATGCTCCAGATATGTCAGCATTGCCCCTTAGAGCTACCATAGCTGCCCACCTTGTGTCCTGGACGTCCAAGTATCATAGGATCCTCCTTTCTCCCCATTAAGTGATAGTCATAAACAGAGATTGTCCAAATTGTTTCAAGGCATCAAGAAAGAGGTTTGAAAGCTTTTCATTCTGTTTTAGATTAAGCAGATTTTAGTGTGCCACTTCAGGCCTTTAATTATCTTTAGCACTAACTGTGCTGAATGGAAACAAGCCAGTTTCATCAACTGTGGCTTGAAATCAGCAATAAACCATAATAAATATCATTATTTGGTTCAAGTGATGTGGGAAGCTGTGGTGTACGTAAAACATGATGATGATGATGATGATGATGATATACATCACACAGTCCTAAATGCTTGGGAAGTGTTTGACTTGTGATTTTGTGATATGGAATTCAGTGTATATATCTTGTTTGCTGTTTGATACTGTGTTTCGTGTCAGTAAAATCATCATAATAATATACTTTATTTGTACTGCACTCTATCTCTCCGAGGAGACTCAGAGCGGATTATAGAATACATATATGGCAAACATTCGATTCCATTATACAGTTAAGAACAAAGACAGACAGTACATAGATAGAGGCAAGGCTTCCCTCTTTTTCATCTCTGGCATTTGGAGGCTGTGTTCAACTTGACCATGGAGAGATGCTGTTGTTCCATTTTTTTCATGCTGAGGAGGCTGTTGTCCATGGATGCCTTCCTGATCCAATTGCCGGCATGTTTTCAAGGGTGCCTTTTACCTCCCTGCCAAAGCAGTACCTATTTATCTACTCACATTGCTGTTTTCAAACTGCTAGGTACGCAGAAGCTAGGGCTGACAGCAGGAGTTCTCCCAGACCCATGGTTTGAACTTCTGGTCGGCAAGTTATTCTGTAGCTGATGGTTTAACCCACTGTTCTAACATAAATGAATCTTGTATTTACTTGGGTTGCATCTGATATTCCAAAATCTGGGAGAGGAAACCAGAATCCAGAACACTTATGGTCTCAAACATTTCCGATAAGGGATATTTAACCTCTACTGGAACAACCACATGCTTTTGAATCTGCTTACCTTGTATACGGTAACATACTCTCATAAAGTTATATTTCTTTCTCTTAGGACTGGATAGAATTTGATGAGAATTACGTGTCCTTCTGTCAAAAACTGGAGGCGCTGTCTTCTGAGGTGCCTTCTGTGAGTCTGGTGGAAGGAACAGAGGAAAGGCTAATGGAAAGGACTCAGCTCCTCCAGGTATTTTTAGAATGTGTGATTTACATTGTGTTTGTTGTCCCATTAATATGTTGTATTTATATGCCTTGTGGCTTAAAACAGCCATATCATTTGGGGGGTGGCAAGATTTTGCAGATTCACCATTGTCCTGCTCTTAGGTAGAGAGAGTGTGACTTGCTCAAGATCACCCAGCGTGTATCCATGGTTGAGTGGAGATTCCAACCTTTGTCTCCTAGACTCCTAGCCCAATATTCAAACCTATACACTATACCAACTCTGAAATTAATCCAGGAATGCAGTGAAAGTTTACTTAGACACTTTATTCGGCCCTTTAGATCATTGCTAGTTCAAGGGCCTTAAAATAAGATATACTTTGTTTTACAGACCCATGAGGATTTGAGTGTGGTAAAGTCAGATCAAGCTAAAGTGGTCCAAATGGGATACATTAGACAATATGATAGTGTGAATCTCCTCTTAGTAGTGGACAGAATTGGTTTACTTTTGTCGTGAAATATTTCAGTTGCTAAGAGTGATAAAATTATATTAGATGATAAATGGAATTTGCTTTGCCCATGCTGTCTATTCCATACTAAAATGGATGGCATGTGTGAGAAAATGAAGGGAAATGAACCTGTGAACGGCTTGAATTTATTTATTATTTATTTATTTACTGTATTTGTATACCGCCTTTCTCAGACAATTGGCGACTCAAGGCGGTTTCCAACAAATCAGTATACATAGAACATAATATAGATAAAAACATTAAACAATATAAAACATCACAAAAGAAATAAAAACAACATCAGCATCTCATTATTCTCAAGCATTGTCCAATTCCATTGTCAGGTCATTCGATTTCCTATATTAGCTACTCTGTATTTGTAAACGCTTGCTCAAATAGCCACGTTTTAACTTGCCTCTGAAACATCAAGAGGGAGGGAGCAGATCTAATTTCCCTAGGGAGGGCGTTCCATAGCCAAGGGGCCACCACCGAGAAGGCCCTGTCTCTCGTCCCCGCCAAACGTGCTTGTGACGACGGCAGGACCAAGAGTAGGGCCTCCCCAGATGATCTTAAAGACATCAGTGGTTCGTAACTCTCATTTTGCTCCACATCATGTCCTTTCTTAGCAAATCAAGAAGAATATTGAAAAAGAAAAGGCCAGGTATGGTCAGCTGGTGAAAGAAGGGAAGGATCTGATGGAGCTTGTGAAATGTCCTGAATTGGAAGGCCAAGTTGGAAACCTGCAAGAGCAGTGGGCATCTCTTTCTCAAAAAGTTGGCCATGAGCTCCAGAGACTTGATAGCTTACTCAGACTCTTGTCCAGGTAGGTGTGACATGTATTACATTCTTCACTTTATAGCAGACTGGTTGATCTCTCCGGGGATGATGGTAGTTGTACTTACTTAGGTGATCCCTTGTTGTCCAAGTAAGATTGTCCTCCAGGTACAGTGTCCTGGCAGTGGGTATGTAGGTGACTGTGGAGCCCTATTATCTTCTGCAGTGAAGACATTGGTATCCAGGTGGAAGGAGGTCCCGGTTGGGGTTGGCTTGATGCGGCTTCCTCTTGGCACATTTCTCTCTTTCGCCCTCCATTCGTGCCTCTTCAAATTCTACAGCACTGCTGGTCACAGCTGACCTCCAGCTGGAGCGCTCAAGGGCCAGGGCTTCCCAATTGTCAGTGTCTATGCCACAGTTTTTAAGGTTGGCTTTGAGTCCATCTTTAAATCTCTTTTCCTGTCCTCCAACATTCCATTTTCTATTCTTGAGTTCGGAGTAGAGCAACTGCTTTGGGAGACAGTGATTGATCATTCGGAGAACGTGGCCGGTCCAGAAACCTCATGTACAGTCTCCAGTCAGCTTAAACAATGATAACATAACATAATTTTAAATGGAAGTTAGAATATGCTTGCACTTTCATAGGACTTCCAAAAATAGTATTGCTTCATCAGTAATTGCCACTTTAAACAACAACTATTTGACTGTTTTGTGTTGCTTTTATGTAATTCCCAGCCACCTTTGAAGGTCTGTATTGTTGGACATTTATTCTCATCCCAATATTAATTTGTTCTGCAGCTATAACCGAGAATCCAAGGATTTGGATCGCTGGTTGGCAGTAGCTCAACAGCGTGTGAATGACTGGAACGAGCAGTCGCTTGATGCATCCCAGGAGCTCAGCACAGTCAGAGACAATATACAGAGCTTACTTGTAAGTTGAGCCATTTTTGTGTTGTAGACAGTTATTAGAAAGCACAGAAACTGTCAACATTCCATATAGTATTTTCTAATACTTTGTTTTCAATAGTAATCAGTTTAAAGAGCTCCCTGTATGTATTCCCAATATCTGGTACACAGAATATACTGCTTCGAAGCATAGATGTTCCATTTTCAGCTGGAAGCATGCATCTTATTTATAGATTACTTAGTCACATTTGCATTTATCCTTCACACCAATCCTTTGAGAAAGTGATTGGTCAAAAATCACCCAATGGTGCCATGGCTTTGTGTGGGCTTGAACCTATAGCTCCCAATCATAGAATCATCAAGTTGGAAGAGACCTCATGGGCCATCCAGTCCAACGCCCTGCCAAGAAGCAGGAATATTGCATTCAAAGCACCCCTGACAGATGGCCATCCAGCCTCTGTTTAAAAGCTTCCAACGAAGGAGCCTCCACCACACTCCAGGGCAGAGAGTTCCACTGCTAAACAGCTCTTACAGTCAGGAAGTTCTTCCTAATGTTCAGATGGAATCTCCTTTCTTGTAGTCCCTGTCTAGTTCCTTAACCATTGCACTGCAGTGTCCGTCTGATAAACAAGCAAGCAAAATACTTAGGAAAAGTGTTCCTGCCATACATCAAGGGAACCACTGATCGCATAGGGAAGCAGATGAGGAAACACAACATACAAACAATCTACAAACCCACCAAGAAAATCCAACAAATGCTACGTTCAGCAAAGGACAAGAGGGATCCTCTCACCTCTGCAGGAGTCTACCGTGTACCATGCAGCTGTGGACAAGTCTACATAGGGACCCCCAAACGCAGCATTGCCCAAACACGAATCAAGGAACATGAAAGGCACTGCAGACTACTTCAACCAGAGAAGTCAGCCATAGCAGAGCACCTGATGAACCAAACTGGACACAGCATTTTATTTGAGAACACAAAAATGCTGGACCACTCTCACAACCACCATGTCAGACTACACAGAGAAGCCATTGAAATCCACAAACATGTGGACAATTTCAACAGAAAGGAAGAAACCATGAAAATGAACAAAATCTGGCTACCAGTATTAAAAAATTCTAAAACAGCAGAGAGAAAAACAGGCAGGGACATCTAATCACCTTTCAAGAAGAGTTTGCTCCAGGCACTGTCAGCCCATTGTATGCTAATCAAGGTGGTCAGTTGAAAAGATTCACACCTAGCCCAACTTACAAAAGCCTTTTGTCTCACCCTGGTCATTCCACAGATATATAAACCCCTTTTTCCCAGCTCCAGCC